ACTACCAATAAAAACTAAGTTTCGGCTTTATTGGGTGTTGTTTGTTGTCAATCAAGTACGTATGAATGTGCAAATTCCTGAAATTTATAAAAATAACTTTCCTCTTCAATGGGTTTTTTTTTAAAAAAAAATGAATGAAAAGCCAAGTGGCAAGTGGCATTCTAGCCGAGCGCCAGGTACTTAAGCAAGATAAGTGGCAGCTGGCACCATAAGCCGAACGCCAGGCACTTGCTAAAAAAATGAAAAGCCAAGTGGCAAGTGGCATTCTAGTCGAGCGCTAGGCACTTAAGCAAGATAAGTGGCAGCTGGCACCATAAGCCAAACGCCAGGCACTTGCTAAAAAAATGAAAAGCCAAGTGGCAAGTGGCATTCTAGCCGAGCGCCAGGCACTTAAGCAAGATAAGTGGCAGCTGGCACCATAAGCCGAACGCCAGGCACTTGCTAAAAAAATGAAAAGCCAAGTGGCAAGTGGCATTCTAGCCGAGCGCCAGGCACTTAAGCAAGATAAGTGGCAGCTGGCACCATAAGCCGAACGCCAGGCACTTGCTAAAAAAATGAAAAGCCAAGTGGCAAGTAGCATTCTAGCCGAGCGCCAGGCACTTAAGCAAAATAAATGGCAGCTGGCACCATAAGCCGAACGCTAGGCACTTGCTAAAAAAATGAAAAGCCAAGTGGCAAGTGACATTCTAGTCGAGCGCCAGGCACTTAAGCAAGATAAGTGGCAGCTGGCACCATAAGCCGAACGCCAGGCACTTGCTAAAAAAATGAAAAGCCAAGTGGCAAGTGGCATTCTAGCCGAGCGCCAGGCACTTAAGCAAGATAAGTGGCAGCTGGCACCATAAGCCGAACGCCAGGCACTTGCTAAAAAAATGAAAAGCCAAGTGGCAAGTGGCATTCTAGCCGAGCGCCAGGCACTTAAGCAAGATAAGTGGCAGCTGGCACCATAAGCCGAACGCCAGACACTTGCTAAAAAAATGAAAAGCCAAGTGGCAAGTGGCATTCTAGCTGAGCGCCAGGCACTTAAGCAAGATAAGTGGCAGCTGACACCATAAGCCGAACGCCAGGCACTTGCTAAAAAAATGAAAAGCCAAGTGGCAAGTGGCATTCTAGCCGAGCGCCAGGCACTTAAGCAAGATAAGTGGCAACTGGCACCATAAGCCGAACGCCAGGCACTTGCTAAAAAAAATGAAAAGCCAAGTGGCAAGTGGCATTCTAGCCGAGCGCCAGGCACTTAAGCAAGATAAGTGGCAGCTGGCACCATAAGCCGAATGCCAGGCACTTGCTAAAAAAATAAAAAGCCAAGTGGCAAGTGGCATTCTAGCCGAGCGCCAGGCACTTAAGCAAGATAAGTGGCAGCTGGCACTATAAGCCGAACGCCAGGCACTTGCTAAAAAAAAAAAAAAAAATGAAAAGCCAAGTGGCAAGTGGCATTCTAGCCGAGTGCCAGGCACTTAAGCAAGATAAGTGGCAGCTGGCACCACAAGCCGAACGCCAGGCTCTTGCCATAAACACGCACACGACAAAGTTAATATAAAAAAAAAAAAAGAAAAGGCATATATATATTGAAAATGGGTTTGAACAGAGCGTAACACAAAGAAAAAAGAGAAAAAAGAGTTCTGTCATCTCATTCATGATAAGCATTGGAGTTACAAAAAATGAAGTATTCAAGTCACATTGTTACAAAAAAGTATGGAATCGAAGAGTCTGGAGGAGTCCTAGCTAGCTGCCCCAGTACCGACAGCCTCCTGGTTGTGCCGATCCGCCTCCTCGGTCCCGTTAGCCATCTCACCCTCACGAGGTGGGGAATCAAGATGAATAACAGAGTCATTCTCCTGGGGGCCAACGTCAGCAGTGACTATGGGAGAGACCACAGTTGACGAATGAGGAGCGGTTAGAGGCTGAATGGTAGGAGGAGCTGTAGTGATCCTAGAGGAAGCAATATCCTGACATTCATCAAATATATGCTCCGCTTTGGTGGGTTCTGGGTCAACATAGACCCTCAGAGGATCAATCCCTAAATCCTTATCGACCTCATCTGGAGTTGAGCTGGTCTGTCCCTCAGCCAGAACTCGGTCGGAGAAACCTTCTCGAAATCCCTGAGCATATCTAAGAGCTCCGACTCTTGAGAACCGAGCATGAAGAGCCAGCATCCCACCGTTCACTCTGCTGATGGTATCAATCAGAGCAGTACGCTCGTCCAGAGCTCTCTTCTCAAAAGCCATCCGAGCAGACTGTTCATCAGCCAGAAGGCGCTGGAGCTCTGCCTTTTCGTCTCTGATTGAATCACGTTCAGTCTGCCAGACACTCTTCTCAAGCTGGAGGGCATCCTTCTCATCCTGAAGAGAGTCGTTTTCCTTCTTCAAGACATCTCTTTCTTGTTCGGTTTTTTCAAGCTGAGCCAATACCTCGGTATTCTTGCTGGCGAGAAGGTCGTTCTCCTTATTGGCCACCTCCAGGCTATCAGAGAACTTACGGGCCCTGGCGTTCCCTATTTCCACCTGCTTCTGCATAGCCATCATTCCGAACAAAGTCTGCATAGATATACATTTATAATGGTTAAACCGATAGTCTGGTCGGACGAAGGCAAGACCAAATAATATGAGAGGATTCATGAGTTGGAAAATAAAAGTCACCTCCATGGCAGATTGGGGAAAGCGGCTGAACACATCATTCTGGGATAGACCTTTCGCCGCCTCAAGGTCTTTCGGAGTCCACATGCTCCTATAATACGCCATGGCGGTTTGGCCATCCTTTAGCATGGTCTCGTTCGGCTTCACGAACGTCCCATCCATTCAGGTGTACCGAGGAGCCCATGGTGGTAAAGTGGGAAGAGAAGGGGAGGCTGAAGCAGAAGCAGAGGCACCAGCTGCAACAGGCCCGGAGGGGGCAGGAGCTCTGACTGGGCGATGCAAGAGAGCACCCGGCCCAGAGACCCGGGTCCTTCTTATAAGAGGTTCCTCCTCAGGGTCGACCCCACCGTCAGGATGAGGCCTTTTGCCTCGTTCTTTGTCCCGAGCGCCCCCAGCGGCAGCAGGGGCAGTAGTGATTTGTGGAGACGCGCTCGGGTTGGTAGCAGGGGTGCTGACAACAGAATCAATAGCCACCGTGCTCGGGATGGTGTCAGAGATGGTGGCTGAGGAAGAGGCTGATGCAGGAGAGGAGGTTGCCCCAGCAGCAGAAGTGGCTGGGGGAGTATTTTTCTTCCTACCAAATGATGGAATCTGAAGCCTGCTCATGGTATAGCCGAGGGATGAGAGCGCTAGAAGGTTGTCTGAAGTGAGGAAGTCTGAGTAAGAAGGAATATCGTTCAGAACGTATTTCTTCAAGTAATTACTCCTATCCCTGCAAACACTGTAGCTCAAGTCATCACAAGGTATGCCTAAGGAGCGACATAAGAAAGTACAAAAGTGAGGAACACATGTTTCGCAGGGACAATCGTTTTTATGAGATTTGAATTTCTTATATGAGGAAACAGAGCAGACGCCAAAGGCGCTCGGGATTGGGTAATCCTCTGCAGCCGGCGAAGACCAGGCCCCACTAATGCCCACGATGTTATCCCTCCAACCCTTTTCAGATTTGATTGTGTCCGTACATATGGACATCTTGTCGGTCGGGTAGAGGTGGTAGAAGGGCTCGTTAGTTCGGATCTTACTGACCTTATAACACAGAAGAAGATCTATGAGGTCAAGGTCCAGACTTCTGTCACGAATCAACAGTAACATAACGGATATGATTCTAAAGAAATTGGGGTTTACCTGCAGGGGGGATATCCCCAGTCTATTGAAGACATAATTAAAGAAGGGGTGCAGAGGGAACCTAACGACATTCAGTTAAAGGTTTGAAAATAAAACTTCGCCGGGAAGAAGGCCGGTACCGGTCATAATATTAACATCCTTAGGGCAAACCCTAACTTGGATGTTGTCAGGAAGTCTAAGTCTCATACGAAGAACATCTAGATCTACAACCATGGTGGAAGTGTTTGAAGGATCTAAAAGGGTAAAAAGAAGCCTGCCGAAAGTAAAAAGGAACAAAACTAACCTCTGAGATAGAAAGCAACAAAGAGCACTGCAAGACCGCTGGAAGAATGACTCTTGAAGGATTTCACCGGAAGAAGTTTAGCACTGTTCTAAAAGGATGAACGAGAGATTTGACTGATGATGGAGACGGTAAAAAGGCATGAAGTGGTATTCTAGAGCCTTATAAAGGCGAGGGGGACCCGAGGGCCGAAGCGTCAGGAAGGCGAGAAATTCATCGAGCCCCGGAACATTGATTCTGGATCTGACCGTCCGTTCCCCCATGTGAGTTTCTCGAGCCGTCAACGTCATGATGAGACGCCTTCAATAATTACCCCCTTATTAAACAAGGGGTAATTATGGGGGCAGTTGAGGAGGCCCGAAGTGGCATGGGCCGGATATGACTTGCAAACGCGACATCTGGTCCGTACAGATGGGTCAGACCCGTACAAAGACACTGCCATATGGGCCGAACGCGAATTAGCCCATCAAAGATGACCAGAACTCATAGAGGAACGGGTCTAGATCCAACAGTCCATCGACATTTGTAAATATCTATAAATAGGAGAAGTAATGAATAGAGTAAGGGGAGATATTTTTTGGGGTTGAAATGCAAGAGTTCTAGAGAGAGAAAGAGAGGAGGAATTTCCTGCATCTTCAATATACTTTATCTATTTTGAGTTCCTTCCGTAATTAATTAAGTTATCCTAATTACCTAATATAGTTAGTTACCAGAAATGTTGTGTATGTGGTGCATTATTGTTCGGGTTGATGTAATAGCTTGAAATTGTGTATATATTATATTTAGTTTGGTTTCTGCATTTTGTGTTGTGTATGTGGTGCATTATTATTCTGAAATTACTGCAAACCAGTCTTAAGCATAGAAATAGTGACAGCATGTCTTCATAGTTAGTATGAACTAATATATTACATGCATTATAATTTATACACACAAGAAGCCTATGCATATTCTTACATATATATATATATATATATATATATATATATATATATATATATATATATAATTAAAAACAGAGTGGCTTATTATGGGAATGGTACATATAGTCTTATGGTTATCTCTATTTCTGCTCACAACATATGATATTTGGTTAATTTATAGAGTTTAATTTTCATAAAATTTAGATGGAAGGCGTGAGGTGATGACAACTTCCAGTGGGGTTGCCTTAGGCAATGTAATACCTAAGCCTTCAGTCATGTCCACGGGTTCACCATTTGGTGTTGTGAAGTTGAACCCCTGTAGCAATCGAGCCAATGTCAAGTGTGTCACTTGCAAGGCAAATGAGATCCCGGGGCAAGATCGCCTACCGGAACCAAATGGGGTGTACTCAAAATGCTGACCAGCAAAATCTACCTCTGCGTGGCTCGTCAAGAACCTCTCCGGCATGAATTTGTCAGGCTCTGTCCACACACGCGGGTCTCGGTGCATCTTCCACACATTTACTAGCAAGCGAGTGTTCTTTGGGATGTGATAACCACTCACATTACAGTCTTCCCTGGCCTGGTGTGGTACTGATAAGGGACCTGGTGGATACAGACGTAGAGTTTCTTTAACAATTGCCTGAAGGTAGACCAAGTTCTTGATGTCGGATTCTTCTACCCATCTCTCTGTGCCAACTTTGGAGTCTATCTCTTCTTGAGCATGCTTTAAAGCATGGTTGTTGTTCAATAATATGGACATGAGCCATGTCAAGTTAATGGATGTGGTGTCCGAGCCTGCTAAGATAAGGTTCTGCAGGGCAAGAATGTTAAGAACATAATAAAAACCAGAGGATGTATTAAGGCTATGTTTGACGGGTATGGAATAGGTAGAATCTGCGAAAAAATAAAATTTTCTCCAATTCCATGCCACCAAACACAACTTAAATCTATGTTACACAAGGGTTAATGATAAGATTGCTTTATTGAGACCTAATTACCATATCAAAATAAAAGTATAGTGTCACCGCATACTAAAGTAAGGTTGCTTACGTCAAATCTTCCCGAAATAGTGGAAGCATCATGCAATTGTACTCGTATACCCATATAAACATTTATATGTATTTTTTAATATATACAAACACCAATCAAGAGCCAAGAAACCTGCTGCACAAACTATTTGAGGTTAATTGGCTTCTATGGATCAAGTAGTATTTTACATGGAAGTGTTAATAGCCAACTGATAGTCCTGCACTCCTGCCCAAATGGAAAAAGGTTTGGACTCTGTGTGGTCATGTTATCGCTTGCCTGGAGTTCTTTTATTCCTGCATAGGTAGCACTAAAAACAAATACAGTAGCGTCTTAAAATTGGACTATATATATATGCATTTTCTTCAAATTGAAATTTAGCTCAATATTTAGTTCGAAGTGTAAGTTGAAAACCATGAATGGGGGAATTTGGCAGATATATTCAAGGCACTTGGGTTACCTTGCCCCACCCTCTCACTCCAAATGGTACCTGTATTTGACTGCCTCACTAATTCATTCGCTAGCAAGACGTCGATTGTCTAGTCTTAAGTCTCCCATATACTTTTGTGACCTTGTGTATCCGACCTTATACTCTAATTCCAACCATGACCCTTTGTAGGAAACTTCCCGGAAATCACTACTTGTGTTGTCCCAATTTGGCCATCGTTTTCTAATGATATTTTTTTTAATTATTTTTTCCACCATGAAGGTCCCAACCACCATTAAGACTTTTTGGTATCATGAATGTTGACAATGTTGCTTACGTTTTACAGTACTATTTAAAGACAGCATTGAAAACTCCGTCTATCCCAAACCATAATTTGACAGACTGCTAACTTAAAATTTTGTGATGACCAATACGAATATGAATATAAAGACATACATACCGATATTGTTGCCTTGATAACAGTTTCCTTTGTGTGGCCATAAATAAATTGGTCGTCAATTACAGAGAGCAACACATCTATGAAGTCCAGCTCATCACCCCCAATTCCCTTCTGAACATGTTCTTGAACCCAACTCTCAAAAATAGAATCCAATTCTTTTCCAATTCTCTTCATGGTCTTCAAGCCTCCTACCATATGATCAATCCATCTCAGCAATGGAAATGGAATTACATCTGACAATACAAATCCCCCACTCACATACATAAATTCCTTTATAACTCTTCTGAATCGCGTTGTCTCTTCACCATTCTCGCTCTCCGAATATCTCTTACCTGCAATCATTTTCACAACAATATTCAAAGTCAACTGCTCAAGCCATTCACTGATGATCACTCTGTTGTTGCTCTTCTTGGCAAGCAAGTGCAACTCTTTTATGCTAGTGTCCAATTCCGAGACTCGGACATACCTCAGTGTGTCAAGTCTGCGACTTGACAGCAACTCGAGGAGTGCTAGCTTGCGCATCTCGCGCCAGAATGGTCCGTAAGGCCCAAACCCAAAGGCTGCATAGTTGTAGCCGAGGTAGGTGCCAGCGCTAGATGTGGGGCGTGAGGCCAAGGCTATGTCATTAGTGGTGAAGCACTCTTTGACAGCCTCCCAATTGCTCACCACCACTGCACGGTGCACTCCGAGCTTGATGGTGAAGATGGGGCCGTATTGGTCGGCCATGGCTCCGAGGGTCCGAGCCAACGGCTTTTTGCTGCCTAGTTGGTGGAGGTGACCTAGTAAAGGCCATGCACCTGATGGTTCAGGGAGTACTGGTATGCTCTTGGTAGTGCTTTGACTGTGATTTCTTGATCTCCATAGACTGTACAATAGCAACAATGCTATGAGACAACCAACTGCTTGTGGAAGAGAGAGGATATCCATGAAGCAATAATGTTTGGGAAATGAATGAGATAGTTCTGCAATTAGTTTCCAATTTGGTGGCCTAAAAGTCTATATGACAATTGACGAGGTCAACTTTCACTTTTGAATTAGGAACATATTATTATGAGGACAAGAAAACTTTGTTGATATTCAGAGAAATGAAAAGGATAAGAAAATTATAATAATTAATTTTTCTTCTTTGTTAAGCGTTGGAATCATTGATGGGGAAATATATCTGTAAGCCAAACACTCATTGATGGGCGTTTACTAGGTCCAATTTGAATATTGTATTATGAATATTGTTTTAAGATGATTATGGATTTTTTTTTTTTTTCCACAGTAAATGCACTCTTTACATAATTTATTGTCTAACATATGTATTGAGTTGACAAATAGTTGATATCTGTGGCTTTTTGAGTTAGCTAGTGAATTTGAGACAAATTTCGAAGCTTCTTGTAATTTTTTTTTTTTTTTTTCTTCCAAAAAATCAGCTTCTTCTGATTTTCTAAGAAAAAGCATAGTATTCTTATTTTATTTTTATTTTCCTTAATGTTCACATTTTATTTCATTCATATTATATTGATTATTTTATTTTATTTCCATGAACTTGCTAAAGCCAAGACTGGATTTATATGTATTAGGATAAATTACATTGATATCTTTTGAGATTTTGCTAATATGCATTGACAAGTTACACTTACCTCTACTAAAATTTATATGTAAATATTAGAACATACCTCCCCTTCGTTAATTGTCAACACCTTCCCTTTGTTAACAATCAACACGTACAGTCAATCACAAAAAATGTTAATGTGAGTAATTTTATAATTTTTAAATTTTTATTTTACCCTCAGAAGACATGTTTATTAATGCAATAAAATTCAATAAATATTTTATTAATGTAATAAAATACAATTCATCTCTGAGGCCAGAAACATAATTACGAACCCAACTTCCCAAAAGAGAAATGTAATTACAAACTAAACAAGTTTAACAGGTAAGTATATTTTGATAAATTAAAAAGGAATATCAATGTATATTGACGGAATATCAGTGTAATTAAACTACACATATTACTCTTTACTCTGTTTGGGCTTGGATTAGCTGGGCTTGTCACTACATTGTGTACAGCCCATAAAATCCATCCTTCCAGCCCACCGGAAAGTTCAGAGACACACACTATTAACGGCTAATTCGGCCGTTAATTGTGCATTACTGTTGGAGGCATTGGGTTGGGCTTGTCCCTGTTCAATTGGGTTGAGTTTGTACCTTGTTTTGCTTATTTTGAGTTTTGTTTTTCATTTCATGGTTTGCTTGGCCAAAGGCCCATAGTTGCTTAATTTTTCGAAGGACAAAAAAAAAAAAAAAAAAAAAAAAAAAAAAAACATGTTTTAAAACAAACCTGTGTGCATCAATGTTATATGACCAACTAGTATATATATTATTGTGTATCCATTTTTTTTACCCATTCTCAGATCTAAATAGATGTGTTAACTCTTGCAGCTTATAGCTTAAGTTTTTGCCCAACTGATTTCTGGAGGTTAAGACATGAGGTGAAATATTTAATTGGGATTTTTTTTTTTCATTTAATATATTAGTTATATTATGAAAAAGAGGGGGAAAAGAAAAGTGAGAAGAAGATGAAAATGTCTATGAGAGATAACAGGATAAATAAAAGCGTAATTAACTATACCAATTTTATTTTTTAATGATTGTAATTAACTATCTTATTATCTTCTTAATTTTCTCTTTTTAGTTTCTACGTACTTTAAATTCATTGTAAAGTCGTAACAATTTCATTTGTAATAACTTTTTTTTTTTCCTTCAAATTGCTTATTTTGGATAATGATGACACCCATATCAGTGTAATTTAATATATGATATCATATTGTATTTTCGACATGTGGGTGTTAAAATGACTTGTTTAAGTAGTTTTAATGGGTTTAAGGTGAGCATACTCTAAAATATTTTAATAATTGTAACCATCTCATTATGTTTTTTCTTAATATGCACTAGTAGTTTCTACTTTAGTTGTAACTATTTCATTTGTAATAACTATATATTTTTTTTCTTAAAAATTTCAAATTGCTTATCTGCGATAATGATGAGACCCATATGCATATGAGTGAAATTTAATAATGAAACCTGATTTTATTTTCCACATGTTATTAAATGACTAGTTTAAGCAGTTTTAATGGGTTTAAGGTTAGCAAGGTCTAAAATATTTTGGCAAATGGTGGGTTAAGCTTGCCCAAATTAGCAACCTTAAAAAACAATATGTGTACCACTTGGAACATAATTTTTGTGATAGTCATCTAAAACTACGTGAGATATATACAAATATATATATATATATATATATATATATATATATATATATATATATATATATGGTGATTAAATAGCTGACGCTGAAGTTTTAGATGAGATCAATTGAATATTAAAATGAAATGAGCAGGGATTGTTTTAGATGAGATTGCTGAGTCAAAGTGCTTACTATTTAATGAATACCAAAATGGAGCAGACAATATCCAAGTTTCCAACCAAACCCAGATGGCAACCTTAAGATTCAATGAATACTCCCGATTTATAATCCATAGGGCCCGACGGGACGGTACCAAGGTTTGCGTATTTTTGCATTACGTGTTAAATAAAACAAGGGAACACCAACAAGTCGCTTCACCAACTTCACCGCCGATGGGTACCACCAATCTAGAGAGCCAACAATTGCACAAGGACTTTTACAACACGGAGTGTGTATAATATATATATATATATATATATTGAATAAAATAAAAAAGATACGCCGTAGTATCTTATTTATTATTTCGGTCTAATATAGCGGGAGAGATATAGTGATAAAATAATATTAAAACTTTTTACCTTTTTTTTTTTCATCTCTCTGGTTTTTTTTTTTTTTTTTTAAATTGAAGAAGATTGATTTAAAGTTATTACATTTAAATGTAAACTTATTACATTAGACACAAGACAAATATAAGATCAAAATGATAAATGGTGCATATGTTGTGGATCGTACTCTAAGAAATATATATATTAAAATAGTAATTGTTGAATCTTTTTATTTAAACCTAAAATCTTATGCCAGCATAATGTGGTGTACAATTCGATATGGATTTCTTTTATTTAGAAAAATACATATTGATTAACTTAATTTTTAACATTTATTTATCAAGTTCAAGAAATTTCTATTCATACGATGTAATGAATAAATTCAAATATAAATCATATTCACTCCATCAAAAAATAATAATAATAAAACGGTGCACCAAGATAAACGGATTTGAAAATTCCGTTGAAAATTATTTTCCGTTTTTTCTAACAACCCTACATAGAAATAATAAATGAATTAATAAATGTCATTACCATACAAGTTCATGTGTACTTGCCAACTCAAAACCAAGTGGCTTCTGAATATAGAATAGCATTATCAGGTGGCGTCTCTAATCTGGTGCACAGCCCTCAAGTTCCGTAGACCTTTTGGCATCCTTTTTTTGACAAATCTAAAAATGACACATGTACACACGACATATACGTGGAAGCAACGATATCCATACACCAATTACTCAAAAATATATATATATACACATCATTTGATAGTGATCAAATCAAAATTAACATAATCAAGTTGTATATGATTACATAATCACATATGTCAGCTTAGATGTTTAGTCCACAGATACATCTCTGTTTGTGATTAAGTCTTAATCTGGTTGAACTGATCCCTAATTTAATTCAAACCTGACCACTTGGTCATGGCCCTTGTTGTGAGACCGATTGAGCAAATTTTGGAGGGAAAAACTCAAGGGAAGATGCAAGGGGGTCTGAGGGGCCTCTTAGTCCCAAAAAAAATTGAAAGAATTAATAGTATTAGTCCATCCCAAAATATATTAGCCCACTCTAAAATCTATTTCTTGATCCACCAACATACTAATCCATCATATTATATATATATATTTAATGAGTAATGATAAATAGTTCGATAGTCATACAAATTCTACTAATTTTATGAAAAAATTAATTTTAATTTTATCATACTTACCTTTAAACTTATCTATTATGTCAAATGAATTTAAATTTTATAGACATTAGAATTCTCTATTTAAATATCATTACTCATTTTATATATGAGTTTAATGACATTCCTATATTACGAGTAATAATTATAATAATTAGTTGGAATTGTTCATCTCTCATAAATTAGTTGGAATTGTTGTCTAAATCATTATTCATATTTATTAGACAATATAATATAATAAGGGTGACCGCAAGTTGAATTCCACTAGCCCACAGAAATTTTAAAATTCAAACAGACAATAATCCATATCTGACTCCATCCAAAATAAGAAACTTCTATCCATTTTCACTCTCTATATATTATAAATAGACATATAGAATTAGAGGTAGAATCATAGATACGGAGAGCACTTGTCATCAAAGAAAAAAGAAATGAGCTTTGGAGTGATAATATCAGGAAACGAAGCAGCTGGCTTCAACCTCTGCGCAAAACCCAACGACCACCTATCTTCAAAATTCTCAATGTCTGAAGCTTCTTCTCAACTTCAATTCAAAACCCATGTCACAAAACCAAGCATTTCCATTAGAACTCGAACAAAGGCGACCATTAACAACCTGTATGGTACAGCACAGACCACAGAGAGCTTCTATGAGCTGTTGGGCATATCAGAGAGCGGAAACCTTTCAGAAATCAAGAAGGCGTACAAGCAACTGGCTCTGAAGTACCACCCGGACGTGTCGCCGCCGGAGCGGATGAAGGAGTACACCAGGAGGTTCATTCGAGTACAGGAGGCTTATGAGACTCTGTCCGACCCCAAAACAAGAGCCATCTATGATAGAGACTTGGTTGGTGGTTTGAACCTGGCTCTCTCCACAAGAAAACGGTCTCAATATGACCAGGTTAGGTTCTACTAATGAGATTGTGACACTTTTATTATTTAATTTTAGAAAGAAAAAAAAAGATAAAAGTAAAATATACTATTCTTTTCCCCTCAAATTTTATGGTTGTATTAGGAGTTGAGTTTAGATTACACTTACACATACCCATATATATATATATATATATATATATATAGTGTATAGATTAGGTATGTGACTAGTTAGAGATTGTTTCTCTTTCTTATTAGTAGTTATTTAACCAGGTTAATTTTTGTTGGTTTTGATTTCACCAGAGATTTGACGACTGGGTTGAATGGAGGAACCGTTGGCAGTCTCAACTCAGTGAGTTAAAGAAAAGGAGGGAAAATAAGGATTCAAGAAGGCATGCGACATGGGAATCTCGAGGACGCAGGCAAAGAAGTCAAACAATATTTGATGATGATGATGAATCATTCTCGTCATACTAAGAAGAGTTTTACTTTTGCATTGCTTCTTCATCTAACAGAGCATTCCTTTTACATGCTTTGGCTATAGCGAGAAAAGAAACAGAACCAGTTCTTGATTATTACAATTTGTCAATTTAGCCCATGTACGTACATATCATTTTTGTTCCAAATAAATACTACTGCCTGCTCTACATGATGGTGTTTTTCAAGTAAATTATTGTTATCTTCAGTTGTTTGAAATTGGTATTTTGAAATTGAGAATTACAGAAAATTTTAATTTAAACCATGCAATCAAACATAGTATTTGTGTATTTGAATGCAAAGAATAGATCCTTCATTTGCAAGGTGTATAAGGATTGGGATTTTTGTTCAAAATCCCTTGAATCTGCATGATTTAAAGTGTTTTTGGGTTTTTACCCTCTAATGCGCTCCAAGGTTAACCCCAATCCGATTAAACCTTATACGAGTTTAATTAATTTATCCTAAATTTAAGTCAATTTTTATATGTTTAAGATGTCAATTCCAATAGTTCAAATTTTTAGATTATAAGGTAAGCATCTGACTCATTATTCGCATCAACGTCTATTCTGAATGTTCTCGTTTACTCTACTTCATCCCGTCCCAAAAAAAAAAGTCCAAAAAAAAAGTGTTTCATTTGAAAAGTCAATATAATATTTTTCTAATATTATAAATTTAATATTCTTTCATTAAACCTATGAAAAATAAGGACTTACTTAATTTGTAATTTTGAAAATAATTTTTAAAAATTCAGAAAACATAGAGTATTTTCAAAAATTATAAAAAAATTGTTATCTTAAAACACCCTAATCTTTCTGTTTTTTAAATTTTAAATAGGATTTTCCCCGCTTAATAAATAACCATTTGTTACCAATAGGAAATTGCTTTTCATTTAAAATAGAGGTGATTGAATTTGCACCAACGAAAACCATAAATTTCATACACAATAGAGGGATACGATATTTTTTATTTTTACACACCATGTGAATAAATGATAATTCATTTATCACTTATATAATTAAATAATAATAATAAAATATTATCTAAAAAGTTAAATTTCTGAAAGTGACACTTTTATTTTATTCTTGTAAACATTCACGTACATGCTCCCACTTGGAACCCCAAACTTTTTCTTTACAGAAAGTGGAAGACATACCCCTTAAAACAAGCATTTGTCTCATCCATTTTTTAACCTTTATTTATTTGTTTATTTTTTTAATTCACCATGTTATCGTGAAACATAATCTAAGTAGTTGAACTTTCCCCCACCAATCAAAAGTAAATGTATACCACTTCCTCAATGATTGACTGGCACCATGTTGCATTTTCTGGAATTGAAGTTTGAATTTTTTTTTTTTTTTTTTTTGTCACACCTTCTTCTTGTTAAATTTTGGTGAATAAATTGAGATCGTGGACTCCTAGTCATTTGGTCGCTGAAGCCTCCAAATTGCTCCAATTCTCTTTCACAAAGACATAAACCACATTAGTTCTACCAAACCAAATTAAAAAATAATTAAATAGAATTTCCAAACTGAATGTTGTTTGATCTAAAAACAAAAATATTTAACTTTGATATTGCATTAATTTTCCACCCACTTTTATTGACGAATCTAATTAAATTAATATATTCAGAAGACTGAAATCAGAACGATATTATGTGAAAACTAAACAAGTGTCAAATGGCATCTAAGAAGACGTTAAAGTTAATTCTTATCATAATGATTTAGCCCCCTTTCAGCGATTCCACCACGGCTTAAGACTCTTTTGGTCGTGACTGCAAAGTTGTTGTTGTATTTGCTTTTTAGCAACATTTTCAACACTGCATACGTAATGGACTACTTTTCTGAACAAGTTTTGCTTTAACTTTAATTGATTGTATTTTTTAGTGGGTTGATGACGACTTGTGGAGCAAAGACCCTGGTTTTCATCACTAAGCTGAATCAGCAATTTCAATCCATGTCTCCTTTCGCGCGCGCGTGTGTATTTTATTATTTGAAAGGCAGAAATGCCAAAAGTGACAATACTGACATATAAGTTAAATCAAATAAAGACATATAATTATAAATTATGAAGTAAAAAATAAATAAATAAATAAAGAACATGTTCTAAATTTGTTAAGAAAGAGTCACCCCTCTAAAACGAAAATCACCAAAGGATAAGAGTAGCAACTGGCCAAAGGTCAGGCCATCATCAAAGTAACAGCTCTAAAGCTGCATCCACAAGGCGCCTCCACACACCTAACCCTGTACAAAATCTAATCAAGTCGAGAAAAACAAAAACCGACCTAAATCAAAGATCTGACCGAAGAGAAAACAACAGATCCACTCTGTCGAGCTGGAAACATACCAAATTAAAACATAGGGGTGCACACGGTTCGCTTCCTTACGATTCCGGTCGGAACCGAAACCGAAATCGGAACCGTATAGATATAGAACCAAACCGTGAATACCGATTCGATTCTATGAGAACAATTAGTGTTGTTCCATTTAACAAATACAATAACAAAAATATAAATAATTATTCAAAGCGTACCCTATAGAGTAAATCCTATTTCAAGATATGCTCCTTCAATAACCTCCGCTGAGACATTCGAGTACAGGAGGCTTATGAGACTCTGTCTGACCCCAAAACAAGAGCCATATATGATAGAGACTTGGTTGGTGGTTTGAACCTGGCTTTCTCCACAAGAAAACGGTCTCAATATGACCAGGTTAGGTTCTACTAATTATTTTCTTATATTATTATTATTATCTCTAATTTCATAAATAAAATAATCAAACACTAATGAGATTGTGACACTTCTATATTTTAATTTAAGAAAAAAAGATAAAAGTAAAATATTAATATTCTTTTCCCCTCAAATTTTATGGTTGTATTAGGAGTAGAGTTTAGATTACACTTACACATACCAATATATATATATATATATATATAATAGTGTATAGATTAGGTATGTGACTAGTTTGAGATTGTTTTCTTATTAGTAGTTATTTAACCAGGTTTTTGTTTATTTTGATTTCACCAGAGATTTGACGACTGGGTTGAATGGAGGAACCGTTGGCAGTCTCAACTCAGTGAGTTAAAGAAAAGAAGGGAAAATAAGGATTCAAGAAAGCATGTGACATTTTTACCTAAAAAAAGAAAAAAGAAAGCATGTGACATGGGGATCTCGAGTACGCAGGCAAAGAAGTCAAACAATATTTGATGATGATGATGAATCATTCTCGTCATACTATGAAGTTTTTTTACTTTTGCATTGTTTCTTCAACAGAGCATTCCTTTTACATGCTTTGGCTAGCGAGAAAAGAAACAGAACCAGCTCTTGATTATTACAATTTGTCAATTTAGCCCATGTACATATATCATTTTTGTTCCAAATAAATACAGCTGTCTGCTCTATATGATGGTGTTTTTCGAGTAAATGATTGTTATCTTCAGTTGTTTGAGATTGGTATTTTGAAATTGGGAATTACAAAAAATTTAACTTAAATCATGTAACCAAACATAGCATTTGTGTTTTTGATGCAAGGTGTACAAGGATGGGGATATTTTGTTCAAAATCCCTGAATCTGCATGATTTAAAGTGCTTTTGGGTTTTTAGTTTTTTAACCCCAATCCGATTGCAACCTTATATGAGTTTAATTAATTTACCGTAAATTTAAGAAGTTTTTATATGTTTAAGATGTTAATTACAGTAGTTTAAAATTTTAGATTATAAGGTAGCATCTGACTCATTATTCTAATATTAAACTTAATTAAGTCATTCATCACGTCTCTCAATGTCCCCCATCTACTACTCTTTCCATCTCAAAAAAAAAAATATATATATATATATATATAATAAAATAAATTTGTGTCAACTTTCTATTCCTATTCGTTCCAAAATAATTGTCTCATTTCAAAAGTGTACTATTCTTCTAATATTACTAATTTAATATTCTTATATTAAACTTATAAAAAATAAATTATCACATCAAATTTAATAATCATTAAAAGTGCTTTTAATGATTACTAAATATTTAAACACAATTTTTTAAAATAAAAAATATTTTTAAACATAAAAAAATCAATTCTAAAAGTAAAATTAATAATTCATTTACCACAAGTACAATTAAAAAATAATCTCTTAAAGAGTTAAATATCTGAAATGACACTTTTATTGGGATTAATTTATTTTATTCTTCTGCACTCATGATTGACTGGCACCATGGTACAACACAGATCATACAGTGACTTAGTGATACCAAATTCTTACCTTTCAAAGAGAGGTTAAGGGTTAGAACCCCAGTAGAGATATGTGCGTGTGAGTACCAATTAAGAAGAAGAATGAAGAGGAGAAAGGATGGAAGGAAGAAGAAGAAAAAAAAAAAAAAAAAATTGCTCCCACTTGGAAGTTGGAACCCAAACTTTTTCGAGTAAATTATTCTTCTGCACTCAAGTACATGCTCCCACTCGGAACCCAAACTTTTTCTTCAAAGAAAGTGGAAGACATGCCCATTTAATCAAGCATCTGTCTCATCCATTTTTTAAACTTTGTTTATTTTTTAATTCACCATGTTATTGTGAAACATAACCTAAGTAGTTGAATTTCTCCCCACCGATCAAAAGTAAATGTTTACCAATTCCTCGATGATTGACTGGCACCGTGTTGCATTTTCTGGAATTTAAGTTTGAATTATTTTTTCTTTTGTCACACCTTCTTATTGATAAATTTGTTGGGTTTGTAACTCAAAATTCATGTGCAAAAAATTAGTTTCTTTTTTCGTTTTGAAAGGTTGAAATTTGTAGAGGAACGTGTTCCATTATATTTCTATTTTAGAGTTTTGATCAGTATGATAACTTCTTGTAAGCAAGTTTTCAATAAGAAATTGGATTTAAAAACTCTATAAATAAAGATGGGTGTGAGAGATTTAGAAAGAGAAAAAATAGAAAAGATATAAAGGGTTTAAAGGTGAATGTTGTGAGAAAAGGAGAGAGTATATGTCTCTTCCTTGATTCATAATAATGAAATCTCTCTCACCCATGAACGTAACTCTAAAGTTTCACCATGTAAAATATTGTGTTGTGCGTGAGTATGCGTGATTGTTATCTTCATGTACGTTTGTGTTGATGTGATGTGATAATGCTTTCGTTATGTGTGATGAAAGAGAGATTTAACTCTTAACAACAACCGATCATTGAATAAATTAGAGGGAGTTAATTATTCCCAACAAAATTATAGTGAATAAATTGGGATAATGGACTCATAGTCATTTGGTCGCTAAAACCTCCAAATTACTCCAATTCTCTTTCTCGAAGATACAAACAACGTTAGTCCTACCAAAACAAATTAAAAAATAATTAAAAACAAAAATATTTAACATTGATATTGCATTAATTTTCTACCCACTTTAATTGTCGAATCTAATTAAATTAATACATTCTGAAGACTGAAATTAGAATGATATTATGTGAAAACTATACAATTGTCAAATGGCATCTAAGAAGATTTTAAAGTTAATTCTTATAATAATGATTTAGCCCCCTTTCAGCGGTTCCACCACAGCTTAAGAGCCTTTTGGCCGTGAGTGCGTAAGTAGTTGTGTATTTGCTTTTAGCAACATCTGGAACACTGCATACGTATGATTGTATTTTTTAATTGATTGTATTTTTCAATGGGCTGACGACGACTTGGTGGAACAGAGGCCCGGTTTTCATCGCTAAGCTGAATAGCAATTTAATCCGTGTCTCCTTTCATACTCTCCGAGCTATAAGAAAAATGATATAGTGCCCGACCACAACACGTGGCAATCAACTATTTGGGAGCACAAATTGAGCAGCACCAAACGGTTGTGATTATTCACAAATATATATGATCACAGTTTTCCTTTAAAAGTCGTTTAATGTAGTTTGAAGTAGGAGTGCAATGAGAGTTGGTCAATTCGAATCCAACTTGAGTTCAGAGTTTTTTTTAGCATTTTTTTTAGTTTTTTTAACTTTCTTTATTTAAATCTTAATATATTATAGGTTTAACATTTTGGAGTAAACTTTTTAAGAATTTATTTATAATTATAAAAAAAAATGGTATTAAGTTTTAAAAAATTGTGTTTAGAGTAATATAATTTTAAACTAATTAAAGATGACTTTAAATTTCAATGTATAAATTGGTTACATGAATAATTCGAATAAACCTCTGTTTTTAACTGAAATATCAACAAGTTATAACACACAATTTTTAAGTTGAATTGTGTTTGGGTTAAATAGCTAAGGTTGGGAACAGATTATTATGATTGGAAGGGTACCCACTCCCAGTTACTACATCCAAAACAAGCAAGTGACCAATTTGGTTGAATTATATTGACAAAAATAACCCTATATGTGTATATATATATTAAAAAAAAGGATTAAAATAATGCTCCAACACCTTATCCGGTTTGGGCCATATGAGGTTTGGGTTTATTGTTGTAAGATTAAATTTCCGCAAAAATTGCTTTGAAATTTTGGTTTAATTTACTTTGACACCCCTTTATAAAATAAAATTTCTAAGTTACCCTCCATCCTCGCTTTCTCTCTCTACCCACCTCCATCCTCCCATGACTATTAAGTTTGGCCCTTTAGCATACTTTATCACGATTCTGGGTGATTCCTTGAATGTATTAGAGGTATTCCTAGTGATATTTGTATTTTGAATATCTGTATGACCTGTGACCCATTAGAGTTATTATTTTTTAATTTCTTTTAGGTAAAGTGTAAAAAATCTTCCTCAATTATGTCTAAATTTAAAAATAACCCCTTAAACTATGTTTTGTGCATAAAACCCCCAAAATTATCACATTTAGTTATAAAATACGCCATTGTCATACCTATTTTTTTATTAAAAAACCATAATACTCTTTCCTATTAAATTACACTTGATATATTTTTCTTGTTAAAATAAATTATGAAAAAAATTCATACTAATTTGATGAAATATTATACATTTAATTTGCATAAGTTTCTTTTAATTATTAAATAAAAATCTTAAATAGAAAAATTTGAAACAATTTAAGTAATTTCGTAATTTTTATGAATATATTGCATTAAAAAGAAGATATTTTTTATTTATGTAATTTATTAATTTTTCATGAATATTGTTTGAAAAAGAAGATATTTTTATACTAAATTTTTTTAAAGTGAGTATAATAAGTTAATCATTTTGGAAAATGATAGCTACAATTTTGTTTCCATTTTATAATCAATTGATACTAATTATAAAATTAAGGTAAACAGTATAATTAATATTTAAATAAGAGAAAATATAATATAAAAAAATTAATAAGAAATGACAAATTTAATAACAAAGGGTAAAATAGTCTTTTGTGATTGATTTGTCATTAATTACAGCAAATCAATAGTTTAGTGGGCAATTTTTAGTTCAGGAGGATTAGTTGCAAAAAACTAATAATTCAAGAGAAATTTTCGCACGTTATCTATTTCTCATTCTTTCAGTTGAATGTTTTTAACAAGACACACTGTTAGATTTTTTTAATTTTTTTCTATTCTCCATGAAACTCCAAATTATCCAAGTTACCAGCATAAAACATATAATTTTATTGGACTATCCAAGCTATTGTGGATTTGTTGTATTTCTTTCATTTAGCTTATTTGTCAGTGTTATTTTAAAAGAGCTTTGAACGTCAAAAGATTTTTTTTTTTTTTTTTTTTTTTGGAAAAACATTTGGTGAATCTCTTTTACTGTAAAAATAACTATTATACCCTTACATTTATGTGAAGTATTTTTGATGCTCATGAACTAACCACAATTGAGAGACTTAAATGGCATAAAAAACATCCTCTTATTTTCCATTAAAGCACAATTTTTGCATTAGAGAGCTAAATAAAATCGAAGTATCCTCTTATTTTCCATTAAAGTACAATTTTGGCACATCTTATATTACAATATTGCGTACAGAACTATTGGTGTTGATGGGGAACCAAAACTTACAAAAACAAGAATTTGGTATTAACAAATAGTTGTCTTTTATTTCAATCATAATATTAAATTTAGAATCAGCAATAAAATAGTGCATCTATCACCATCAAAATCCCCAATTTTAAAGTCTTAACAATAAAAAAATTATTCGTATTATGTTTGTTTTTTATATTAAAATTAAACTGTTGAAATTTGAGAGAGCAAACAATTTGGCTTGTAAAGCAGGAGAATAAAGGACGAAGCCTCACCAAATTAATCTTAATCTTTCGGGTTAAAATTTTTACAGTTTTTCATTCACAAATCAAGTAAGAACAGAACTTTACACGAACGATTTCCAGAAAGATAGGAAGAAAATTAAAAGAAAAGAGCCTAAAAAAATGAAATATCCCCTGAAATGTTGTGGGTCAAATCGACGTAGGATTGAGAATTAGATCTGGATGGTTTGAGTTTTTGGGAGAGAGAGTTAGAGTTGAGTTGCAGTTGTCAAAAGATAAGGAGTCCATGATCAAAATTAGGGTTTTGAGAGAGAAGAAGACGACCATATTGAAGCTTGATTTTGCAAGGAGGGCAGATGGACATCAAATTTTTGCCAAGGGACTGAGTAGATATTCAGAGGCGATCTTGAGCATGAGGGTCCTCAATTTCTTCTGCCACCCTAGGGCTTGGGAAGAAAACACCGTTGTCTTTTATAGGAATACAGTTGGTATTTAATTTGTTTATTGAGTAAAAAAATAGGATATAATTAGTATTTAAAAAGTTTCATTAAAATATAACACCACTTCTCGTGTTTTTCAAAAGAGCGTTTTAGAAAAGCTGACCAGCTTCTCCAAAACACTCTTCTAGGGTTCATAAGCACTTATAAAAAATTAGTAAAACACTATTAAAAATAGTTTTTAAATTTCAAAAGTCAAAAGCAGCGTTTAAAAAGTAAATCCAAACAGACCCTAAGATAAGGAGAGTCCTAAGAATTTTTCCAATCATAAATTCATTTCAGACGTTATATCTCACGGACGATCCCCAAGGTCTAATATGTATTATACCTTATCAACCCAAAAAAAACAAAAAATCGCCCGTCCATGTGGCCCATCCTAGTTGAGTTGGGTTTTGTTAAATTCTTTGGACTAAGGGCTGAACCAAGATTCTATCGCACGGACGATACAGAAATAAGCCCAGGATTTAGTCGTTTCGGGGTCGTATTACAAATTTACAAGAGACGTGCTAATTCATATATAGATATACATACCTATATACATTGAAATTTTGTATGGTTTGCTAAAGTCAGTACATCGATCTCTATTGCAAAAAATGGCTGCCAATTTTTGGACATCGTCTCACTAGTAAGTTTTAGACTATCTCGTTTAATTTTTTTTCCCCTCTTTGTTTGAGTTTTGATCTACTTGTTTTAGTTTTTCTTGCGTTGATTTGATCATTTTTCCGGTTTTGTTTGATTGCGTTTATACAGCAAAGAACTTCTGGACCCGGAAGAGGTGGACGTTGTGAACCCCCTTGACAAGGAGAAGGGCATCACTCTTGAGGATTCCAAGCTCATCAAGATGCACATGGCCAATTGTACGAATACTTCTCTTATTCATACATTATATTGGATTTTATGATTGGAAATTATCTATTATTTTTTTGTTAGACGGAAAATTATCCAATTAATTGCAAAATTCTCGGAATTTTTTATAAGCTTGCACAATTTTTATTCTATTATTATCCTTCTGTTTCTTAATTGAAGAAATAATTGGAAAGAAAAGGTGTAATAACTAATAACCCCCATAAAGAGACTAGTACCATTCAATTCAACATTTTCTTCATTGGATTCGAGCTCTACAATTCAAAATTAGGTTAGATTTATTGTTGGACTGTATGGCTGATTTTAACCCTAAAAAAAGAGTTGTTCTTTTATGGACTTTGGTTCACACAAACATGTGTCTGCACACAAATTCAAGCGCGATTCTCACACACACATACAGACACTTAAATGGATATGCAATCGTACAAACATGCATAACCCTTCAAGAACTAAGACATGAAATAATGCTTATTGCCAAAACAAACCTAAGTATGCAATATAATTGGTTGCATTTCAGTTATTCTGCACCGAGGATACATTTTATGAGGATTCATCATTATGAAAAATGTTGAGAAGCCACCAAAGGTCTTGTAGCCCAATGGTATAACCTCCTATCCTCAAAGAGGGGGGGCGTGGGCAGCAGTATGTGTGAGTACTTACCTGATAAATAAAAAAAGTATTGAGAAGCCCAAGATGACACTATCTCAAAAAAGGACCCAAAAAATAGGAGATAAAAGTTAATCGCTAAAATAACTACCAAATTTCAAATCAATCCGAATCCGTTTAAACCTGTAACCAGAAATCTCAAAATATTCATCAGTCTTCCTTTATCACTGAAAAACGTGATTTATCTGAACTAAACGATGAAATTTTTTTTTTTTTTAAAAAACGACATGGCTTGGGAGTTTTGATTGTTGGGCTGCTTTAGGTCCAGAATGTGTCTCCACAAGTCAAAAGGAGCTCGTCAAATTGTACCAGAAAATTTCGGTAACTTGTCCTACATCACAAATCCTTTGTGATGTCATACCAATATATCCAATAACTCCATTACAAAAATTTTCTGGACATGTGATTTTATCAAACTCAACCAACCTATCTCTGTTTGAGATCCCTTAATTAGCAAACTAATATTTTGTATCTATATATAGACAATTGAGAAGAACTGGAAGTATCCTGGTTTTTTGTTGAATCGTTGTAGATGCTCTCTTAAAATCATACTTTTCATGGGAGTATTGTGAATAAAATTTGCTAGTATATACATAGGCATATCATTCATATGCATGCATAGGTTGCACTTGAAACATATTTTATATGTGTGCATTCTTTCTGACATTCCATTTTGTTTCTATATTTTACAGATATTGCTAGCTTATTGTAGTATTGAAGTGTTAGGAATTGTAATAACCTCTACCTGGACTTCATGTTTTCGTACGCTTTTTTATTTTATGGATTTTCATTTCTAATTTTTAATTTCATGCAAAGAAAATTCCTCAAAAGACAATTTTTAATTCATATTATAAAATCAAATTCTTGGAAATTGTATGGAGCATGAGCTGACATCAACACCCCCACATATATTTACTTACCAAAAGTAAAAGAAGCCACACATATACTGGCAGGCTGCCAAAATCTTGCACTCTTTCATGTGCTCATCTCCTTACATTTGTTAATCTTGTTTTTTTCCTTTTCAGACATTGGGAGATTGGCTCAAAGTGTGAAAGTGAGGCAAAGGTTTGGCCTTCCTTTTATGTTGCCTTTACAATTTTTCATTTATATAAGCTGCAATTTCCACAAAAATTATGTAAAGCTGCAGGCATACAACTAATTAAATCAATATCATGTTATTATCAGAGGTTGAAGTATGCTGATATTTTGTTACATTCTGGAATTTGATTACAATGGCTTTTCTCTTCAAGAGAAGTTTAACGTAGTATGATGCATATTAAGAATTCAGTTAACTCTTGACATCAATTTGTTTTGGGAAAGTTACTAGAATTCCTACTCTTTTCCCTTTCAAGAACTAATGAATCCTATCAATTTTCCTATTTGTATAAAAAGTAATTTTAAAAAAAATAATAAAAAAATTACAAGAATTAATGTGATATCTAATACAATAATGTGATATCTTTCAGGGTCGTAGCCACTGCTATTACATACATGAGACGTGTTTACACCAGGTATTATGTACGATTTCCTGATGTCGGGAGAAAAAATGCATTGTTAGCAACCAGCTGTCTCGGCCTTTGCTCAATTGAACCGTCTTGCTTTTTATCTGAGTCACAACCATGAAGTTTTTGTGAATTTGTGATGCATCTCTGTAGTGGCATGCATTTAATTATTTCAGAATCCTCTGCCACTTCATTTAGAATCATATATATTGAGGTCCTTGTTTTTGTTTAGACTCTAGATGGAGTCACACCTCCGGCACGCTACCCTGACTTGGTTATCAACTCATGAAGTTGACGTGGAATAATCAATTAAATTTTTTTTTTTTTTTTTTTGGAACTAATTCGAGTCCCAAGTCTTTCTTTCTGTCTTTTGACTAATATTTTGTTTTTTGTTTTCAACTTGAATAAATTCTTTGACAGACATTAAGCGCTAGTTTTACTTCCTTTAAATGGCATTTCTCTATCCCTTTTTCCATAACTCATTTATATTAAATCACGATTTCTTTTTGCTGCACCATCATTGTTTTTATAAAATTTTAATGTTGATACTCTAATGGCAGATCTAAAATAAATCTAAGATCACCTCACAAATTGGCATAGGGATAAGGATCAAGAATGCAGTTTTCAAAAACCCTATGACACTATTAGATTACATTTAACCAACAATATTGAAACCCTTATTTATAATCTATGTAAGGCCTCACGATATGAGCTAAAATGTCTGCTTTATTGGTCTTCTGTCAGCTGACTTTGAGGATAAAAGAACTGTGCTTCCTTTGAAGTCCCTGAGGGTGCTTTTGGTTCAAAGAACTGGAATTAGCTTATGAGTTTTATTTCTAAAATTGTAAATCTTAGAATTGCTAATATATGGTCAATTCAAATATAATTCTTCCTAAAATTACTTTTGAACTAACAACATATACAATTTATACTCTGAAGTCTGTTGGTAAAAGGTTAGTAGTAGATGGAAATGGTGGTGGTAGTTATGAAGCACACATGATACTGATCCCACAATAGTGGTGGTGGCAAACCATAAATGCAGTGTTGGGGTTGGAGAAGTGTTTATGATGACTATATAAATTGGTAGTTATGGCGGTGGCATTGAGTCATTGACATTTGTGTAATGAGGTTAGTGGACCGGTGATTGTGATAATTTGAACAGTGTAAGATCATGGAGGTAGTGACAGAAGTGGTGAGGACTGTTGGTGATGATGGATGAATATCAATCATGATGATAACACAATATTGGTGGTGGGGGTAGCAACGGCAATAAAATTGGTGATGGTGAAGTGGACAACATCATGGTGGTTCGTGAAACTGATGTTTTTGGTAGCATCCTGTTGTTTTACTTATTTTGCCGAGAGGGATCTACAAATAATCCTTTGAAATATGCAAATCATCTTTTTATGGCTATATTTCAAATCTTGGGATGGATTTTCAAATCATATTGGAGAATTGCACCCAAACACAGGATATGGGTTGAAGTCCAAATCTGAATCCCACTCCTAAATATACCAAAATCCTTGAACTAAAAGACACCCTAAATGTAATCCAACTCCTTGCTGATCCCGAATCACCAAAAGCAACCATTACATTTAAGTTTGATGCTTTCCATGTGGATAGGCTTTCAAGTATAAGCAAGGTTCATTTTCTAAGGTCAACAAGAAGTCTCACCACATCCTGATCCTCATTACTGTAAATAAAAACTGCCGTTGATGTTTTCCTAGAATTTTCTGCATTTTAAATATTTTTATGGAGACCCAAAAATAGCACTATCCTGGCCAACCAAATACGATGAATTAAACGATACCTATTGAACTTGCACAATATGAACATATATTCAACTGAAATTTGGTATAAATTATATGATTTCTTGGCATAAACGTTTTCTCAAGCTGCTTATATTGTTGGTTGAACGGGAGTCAAGTGTATATGTTTCTATCTTATACACACACACACACGCACATTTTTAAAATTTAGAAAGTGCATTATTTTCCCAAGAACTTCCCACTTCTCATCATTCAAGTGTTTGTCAGGCTCTGGACATTCATCTCTTGCATTTATTTTCTGTTCAAAGTCAAACATTTGGGGATTACTGTATATAATAACCTATTGAGCACTATTTCATTATGCAATTTTTAAGCATGGTTTAACCATTTATATATAAATTCTGAGCATTATCTCCTTTGTGCATTTAGGAAAAGTATGACAGAATATGATCCACGTCTAGTGGCTCCAACCAGCTTATATCTGGCATCAAAAGCTGAAGAAAGCACAGTGCAGGCTAGACTTCTTGTATTTTACATCAGAAAAATGCGTAACTACTTATTGAGCCTGTTACTAGATTAATTATTTAATTATCATCAGAATTCAGTCTTGGTATGTTTCAATTTGTGAGAAATGTTGAGAACCTGCTATTTTGGCTTTGCAGATTCAGACGATAAGTTTAGATATGAAATCAAAGACATACTTGAAATGGAAATGAAGATTTTAGAAGCCCTCAACTATTATCTAGTTGTGTTCCATCCTTACCGTGCATTATCACAGTAAGTATCTGTGCTACACGTTACATATTTGCAGTTTGGCCAAATAGTTTGACTATCTCAACTTTTATTTTTTGCTTTCACAAAAAAATGCTTCACTTGACAGGATAATATTCTTTGGATCCTCATCTTGATATTTATGGCTGTCATGTTTGGCAAACACCTATTTATGACTTCTTTAAGGAAACTACGACCTCTGGGTTCTCTGTTTCCTTGGTTCCTATTTTAAATTTTTTACTGCTACAGAGGAACTGCATGACTAGCCTTTGAAAAAGGGTAATTTCAACCCCTTGAACAAGTTGACATATGATGGGTATGAGCATGGCCATACGTCATATATGTCTGGAACTTTTGATCGTGAATAACTTGAGGTGGTTGCGCTGTAATAAAGTTTCCACAACAATCTCCAAATATAACCCTTGCTACACCAGGATTACCAATAAATTCCATTAGCTTATAGATAAATTAGTTTATCCAGGTAACCTTCGGTGTCTGTTGCCATTCTTGATTTTCCTTCATCTTCTATAACTTCGTCAGGAACCTCTATAAGATTCTGGTTGTCATTCGCCTATGGTTAGAGTTTTTATTACCAAATTTTCCGTACTATCAGCTACCTTAGGTCCACTGAATCTTAACAAACTGGTGTGTGCATTTTAATCACTTGAAGCTCATCTACAACACTAATCAATCTAATAAATGATTGTTCTTTCTTGGCAGGTTGCTTCAGGATGCTGGCATGAATGATGCAACTCAGTTTACTTGGTAAAAGACTAATCATCAACACAGTCAATTTTTAAAGTTGTTTAGATGCATCATGCTTTTATTACTATTTTCCTGAGACTACCCCTTTAAATGTTCAATGCTTCCCTGGGATGTCCTGCCTAGTGGCAGAACTGCCGAGACATCCTTCTGTCAAATGCATTGCTTAGAAGTTTTAATTAATCACCTGGAACATTTGATGGTTGAAAGACTGAAAGTTACCCGATTAGATTGTCTTAATCTTCTGAGAAAGTTGTTCTAAGACCATCCTCATTTTCTTTTACCTTTCCTCAGAAAGAAAACAAAGTAAATAACGCTACAAAGAAAGGAAGAACCAGATTAGTTTTGAAGTACGAGCGCATTATTCACATTACACTCAAAGTCCCCAAAAGAATTACATTGCAAACACGCAGGTGCACACTTTTGCCCGGTCCCTGTGCTGCTGATAGCGTGTCTCTGGCTTAGATTACCTAACACCCATATCTTACCACTCAGGAAATTAGCATTCTGTTGGATATTTGAATAATTCTACACGGACGTAATCGTTGAAGCAGTGTCCATAAAAAGGCATGGATTAAATATATCAACAGGGTTCACAAATAATAAATCCTCATTGTTAGAAATTCCACTTGGCGTGGATTAAATATATCAACAGTGTACATAAAAAGGCATGGATTAAAGATACCAACAGGCCAGTGGCCTAGTGGTACCAAGCCCCTACTTCTCAAAGAGAGGTCAGGGGTTCGAACCTCAGTGGAGGCATGTGTGTGTGAGTACCAACTAGGAAAAAAAAATAATAAATCCTCATTGTTAGAAATTCCACTTGGCATGGGCATTTATCAAGTGGCTATGCAAATTAAGAAGTAATTAGGATTACAGGATAAAATTAGTACACACCAGACTCACCAGTGTCTGACCAATGTCATGCTAGTACTACTGGTTTTCTCAAGCTCAATATGTTCTGATGGTATTGAATTCGGAAACACTCTGTTCATGTGCTTTTCATTCTGGAGGCAGGTTGTTCCTCATGCTAAAAAAGTAATAAATGTATAAAGATAGGGGTTAATGTTTATCAATTAAAATTGTACTTTCTTGGATACAAATGCTATGGCAATGAGTTTTTTGCTTGGAAAAGTCTTCCTTTGATCATTAGTTGGCCCTTTTCTTTTGGCTATTTATTTACAACTGAAAAATAGTTGAAAGCTTTCTCAGAAAATCATCCCTATTTTTTGTCTTTCTGGACATGTCAATTGCTCCTGCAAACATTCTATCCCACAAAGCATGGTTGATCTTCTGAAGGCATTTATTTTAAACAATACAGGGGACTCGTCAATGACACCTATAAGATGGATCTAATCCTCATACATCCTCCGCACTTGATTGCATTAGCTTGCTTATATGTTGCCAGTGTCCTCAAAGATAAAGAGAACACAGCCTGGTTTGAAGAGCTTCGAGTTGATATGAATGTGGTAAGTCTTTGAAGCTAAATCCTCCTCGCATCCATGTATTTTAGTGTTTAACTTTCATTATATTAAATTATTAATAAAGCTAAATTGGAGTCATATTCTGAAATTCCATGATGGACAAATGTGATCTTCACCTTTGATGGTTAAATTCCGTCAATTTTATGAACAATTAATAAACAAAAACTCAAATAATAAAATATAAGAATAAACAATCTATTTATCTAGGTGGATTTAATTCTTTGATGACAGGTGAAAAACATATCGATGGAGATACTGGATTTTTATGACAACCAGAAAACAATCCAGGATGGTAGGATTGTTGTTGCCATGAACAAGCTTGCTTGAAAACCGTATATGGTTGGGAAAATTCAATCTCTTGTGATGACCAAAAGCTGTACTTATTTATCTGAAATTATGTATACGGGCACCATGTTTATGAGAATGAGACCATCAGTTCTATGCCATCCTTCAAGGTCAGCTCTAGTTTAGTGAGCTAAAACGATTGAGAGTGCTTTGAGCATTGGTAACATTTTCTGAAATTACTATGGTCCGGTGTTAGAAATGGCGAATGTTGTCAAAGTCGGTCATGCGTACCGTGGCATAGAAAATTTAGTTGATCAATCTGTCATGTAGCTTTGGAGCGTTGTCCTTTTATTAATTATTGCAAATGGTTTCATGTAAACGTACTCATCTAGTAAAAAAACTTCTCATTTTCTTCTTCCTTTTTTTTCTTTATTATTTTTTTCCCTCGTGTTCATTTTATTTACAGGAAATATTATGATTCAAAACAGATTATGCATGCCATGTTGAGAAGACATGAGTATGTGGAGTTTAAAATTGACGAGAGACCTGGAATGCAAAACATGTCAAAGTATTTAGATATTAGTGTTTGGTTGGAAAGGATTAGTGGACTTGTGGTTGTCATCAGATTTCGATACTATGTATCTATTCATTTAACTTTTAACACGAAAAAAAAAAAAAAAAAATATGTGAAACTCAATATGATTGTATACGGAAAGGAGAGAAAGCAAAAAGACATTTCAAATACCGGACCCAGCGTGTCTGTAACTTAATGGTTCTCATATCATTTCCTCTTGGTGGTCTCTCTAGATTCGCAAAGATCGTAAAGGACAAGCATACTTTCTTTTGCAGAGTCCTTAAACCTCCCACATGCATATCTGTATTCTAAAATGATATACTTCTAAGAAAAAACTGTATTCTAAAATGATATACTTCTAACAAAAAAGATTTAGTACATACACAGTAGTATCATTTGTCAATTCCTAAAATAAAGCAATGCACCTTCTTCATTATATATGTATCTCAAAGTCCAAGTCGCAATAAACTCTCTTTTACCAAGAGCTGGAAATTACCCTTCTCCGCTGAGTTGGAAATTTGAAGTTAAAGTGATCACATGTGACACACGAAAAACTTGTTCTTGACAAAAAAAAATTAAAAAATTAAAAAACACTCTTAACTTTTAAAATCAATTGTAAATAATAAAATGAACACGCGTAAATATATTTTTATCAAAACAATCAATTCTTGTGTTACGTAACGCACGTGACCACTTCAATACTAGAATTTTAATATTTGACTGCTATCAGAGAAGGATAATCTGTAATTTTTTGTAAATTGAGAGTATTTGCTAATAAATAAAAAAAAGGGATAAAAGAAGAGATATAATTCAACATTTTAATAATACAAAAGAATTTAGTGCAATTTGAGTTAATCTCAAAACATAATACTGTATTCTATTTTAAGTAGGAGGTGCAACTTGGGTTGGGTAACCCAAACCCAACTCGAGCCCAGTCCGATTTTTCACAGATTTGGACAATCATTTTTACAATTAGGGTTGGGCATGGGTTGAAAAATCTCAACCTGAATTTAATTAGGATTGGGCTTGGGTTGAAGTGCTAGTAACCCGAACCCAAAATATAATATTATTTTCATATATATTTTTACTTTTAAATACATTATATATAATATTTAAATTATGATTACTTTTTTTCTTTTTAACTTTTTTTTTTTGTTAAATCTTAACTTATTGTATATTAACATTTAGGAGAATTAATTTTCTAAAAATTTGTTTGTAATTTATTAAAAATCTATTTAAACTTTTTCTTGTTTAAGAGTAATTTAATCTAAAACTAATTCAAGATCATATTAAATTTTCGGTGTAAGAATTAGTCATATGAGTAACCCGAATTAACCTGAAATCTAAGCTTAAGTTGTAAGCCCGAATTTAAAAGTAAAAGATTAGGATTGGGCTTGAGTTGAGTAGTTAAAGTTGAGGATATGGTTAGAGTTGGGTTTGGGTTTAGCATTTCATATGGTGGGTAAAGCTTAAGTTATACCTTAAATCCACCTGAGTTGCAACCCTAATTTTAAGGGATAGAAATGCCATTATGTTTAATATATATATATATATATATTTTCTTGACAAGAATGTTAGAAGTTAGTTAGTGATGAGAGGGAGTGGGTATTCGGTGCGGTGCAGGCACATTGAACATTTATTTGATTAAAAGAGGAGGCGGGGAGGGTGCAAAATACGACAAATGACCCCGAATACATACAGTAGTAACCAACTATTTGGACAACACATTACTTCATATTATTTAATATTACCTCTGTTCCAAAAAAACGACTGTTTTGCCCGAGCAGAACATTTTTTTTTGAGAGAGAAAATAAATAATTAAGCATCACAAAAAAAAAAAAAAAAAAAAAAAAACCTTACAATCAATAATTAGGCATAAATTTGTTGAAATCATTAAACCATCTATAAAACGAGACATAATACCTTTAATAGTGCAGACACAGATCTTTGCTTATTTGCCTTTTTTTTACATCTGAGATCTCAAAAGAGAGAGGTGAAGGTAGTGTTGTCATTCTCAGATCCGGAATATGCGATTCTTTTTCAATTTTCTATCCTCAGAAGTCTATGGTATGGTGGGTGGGTTGTTGGCAATGTACCACTCTATACCATAACCCAGTTTTCTATGTGGGTCCACCCCCTCTCTCTCTGCGTGTGCGTCAAAATGGTCTCATGCCCAGTACTATCACCCTCCTCCTCTGTCTTTGACCACCACCCACCACCGTAACGATAACCTGACCGACCCATATCAGATCATTTCATCGTCACTCTCTCTTTCATACCAGACCTATCTCTTTGTGGTCCCACCTTCCGTTGGGAAAATAATTAAAAAACAAGGCATCCACACATTCCAAAGATCACAGCCAACTGCCAACCCTACGTTTATAAATACAGACATTATACATATACGAGCACACACTCGCAGATCCCTCTGCCTCCATTTCCGTCTGAGTTGGGTTCACCCATCAATTTATTTTTTCTGAGCGTAAGAGAGCTATGCCCCCCTTACTTTTTCTGGGGCTAGCCATATTATTATTCTAGGTTTTATTGGTTTGATTGGTTAGACCCATTAGTTTTTTTGCTCGTTTTCTTCATCTGTGTACCTCAAATTTTGAATCTTTTGGCTGATTCTTATTTGGGGCTGGTGTTTTAGTCCAACATTTGATTTGATTCAATTTGCTTGCTTTCGAAAGACTTTATTTGTGATTTGGGTCGGTGCGGGATTTGTTTTTCTGGGTCTGTCAATGGGCGCTTTGGATGAGGGGCATTTCAATGTTGAACTACAGAATGGAGTGAAACTCGGTGGTTTTGTTGATGAAGAAGAACCAGAGTCTGTGGCCATTGAGGAAGCTGTGAAAGTTCTGTTGCAGGGCTTGGATGAAGATATTAATCGAGAAGGTATCAGGAAGACTCCACTTCGCGTCTCCAAGGCCCTCAGAGAAGGAACCAGAGGTGTGCCCCATATTTCCTTTACATCCTGCGACTCTCTTTTAGTATCTTTGTTCAATTTTTAAATCCTGTTGCATAGGTTTTTGGTCTACTGGATCTAATGGTTTTCTGGTTTTAATTTTGGACATATTGAGAAATGAATTTTTCTTTTTTGGTTAGATTACTAAAAGGATTACTGTTTGTTGCAACTTATTTGGTAGCTGCTAAGTTGGTTTCTTGCAATAAAAAAATAGTCAAAAGTTAGTGCAGTCTACTGTTAGTGATTTTAACTCTTTGGACGCTACAATCAACAACATTAATCTTTGTATGCTATGTGCATGTATTTGTTGATTGAGGTTATTGACTCATATGGGATATGGGTTTGAGCAGATCTGTCATTTTGTGGAATCAAAATCCTCATTATTTGTTAGATTCATGTACCCAATTCAGTTCAGTGGATCCTTCATTCACATATTTTTTTTAAAGTGATGGAACACATTGATTTGTGTGTTGGGTTGTGGAAAATATACTGAATTGGTCAAATTCAAATTGGAATTGTTTTGTCAAAAATTAGGTTTGTATGTAGTGTACCTCTTCAGCAACCTGCATTGGCTGGATCGATGTTGGTTGATTGGCTATCAGCCTTGCAACTTGCTGTCTTAAATATTTATTGCTTCAAATTTCCATGATGGTAGTTTAAGCATTATGTGCTTATCTCTGTGTATCCATTATGAAGAGGAAGAGACTTTGACAATTTGCCATCTCTTTGTGGATGTTATCTAGAACACTTGTTTGGGCTGTCCACCTTGATAACCTGGTATCTTGAAACCTCTTTGCCTGCAGGGACAAGCCATCCCTCATTACCATCTATAACCACTATGGAGCTTTTTCTTTATTTAATAAATCGCCTGCGTGTGTGTGATATGCCTTTTTGGCTTAGGTTCCTTCTGCTTAACATGTGATGTATCCCATAACTAGTTGGATAGCTATAGGTGCACTCTGAGCTTTCGGGGATCAGTATATTCGATAAATAACCTTCAAATGAGGAAAATAGTTGGGGTGGAATATGAGTTTGACAATAACCTTTGAAAGATTGGAACGGTAGGTGGTAGATTCATCAAATGCTTCCATCTTTGCTAAAGGTATGAAGTCCAGGTTAGAAGCTTTTGTTACTGCATCCAGATGTTAAACTAAAAGCAGTTTGTAATACGGATACCTTATGTTATTCGGACATGGTTTTGTAAGTTTGAGAAGAGCAGCCACATGCATGTAGTGTCATCCATTTTAAAAAGTTTAAAAGCTTGGGACCTTGTTCTTTTCTATATTAGTTTGTGGTTAAGAACATGGAAATCATGCAAGGAAACTTTTTCTTGCCCTGGCTGGTTGAGCAGTTAAACATTGAGTAAAAGAAGATATGTTGAAGATGGGGAGGGTTTTAGGTGTGCTCTTCTTTGCTAATGATAAGGCACTCCCTGGTAAGTGCTTTCGCCTTTGGATTTTCGCAAGAGCAGGAAAGCTTGTGGAGAAAATATTGCTGTTAGAGGTGGAGTATTTTTATATGTGACTGACTCGTAACACCACTGTGTAATCCTTGTGTATATGCTATTGAGTAGTGATGTTTTAATCATGAATTGGGATCTGTCAAATGCAGGCTTGGTAGTTTAGTGTAATTTCAGGAAATGTCGTCGTGGTGGGTAATTATTGAGAATTAGCATATTTGTTTGACTGATATATGTGGTTGCTTTGCCAGGAAACTGTTTTTTAACCAAGTTGCTGGTGGTATTTAAATGAATTCATAGGAATTAATCAAATGGTTCATATAGGTAATGATAAATTTCAAATATGGGTAGTAAAATTTGTCTACTCTAGAAGATAGCATCATGATACACACATTTTTTTGGCTGATCAAATGAGAACATAGAACCAAAAGCATAGCTCAAGGAGGAACTTTTATAGGACCATTGAGTATTTCTAGAAGGTAAAACTTCTCGAGAGAAAAAACATGTTATTTTACAATCAGCCTCCATATGTAATCTTTTCTCCAAATTTTAGAGCATGTTGTTTTGTAATAAAAGCTCTCAGTTTCCATTTGCAAAATCAGCCTCCATATATAATCTTTGTTGTGCCAATATTTTTGTTTGAAAGTTCTAAATAATTGAAACAATAGTAAAAGAAAAATGAATGAAGAAAATATATCTCTGATCTAAATATCCAATGTGTATACAAGTCTCTATTATTATTAGTTTGGATTTTGAAGTATGTGACAAGCGTTACTGATTTAAACATCTTTTCCTACTTTGTCAGGCTACAGACAAAAGGTTAAAGACATTGTCCAAGGTGCTTTATTCCCTGAAGCTGGATTGGAAAGTGGAGTGGGTCATGCTGGAGGTGCAGGCGGGCTTGTTATTGTTCGAGATCTTGATCTATTCTCATACTGTGAGTCTTGCTTGCTTCCATTCCAGATTAAGTGTCACGTAGGTTATGTCCCATCAGGGAAACAGGTTGTAGGCCTAAGTAAGCTCTGTAGGGTAGCGGATGTCTTTGCAAAAAGGCTCCAAAATCCACAGCGTCTGGCAGATGAAGTGTGTTCAGCTCTGCAGCATGGCATCAAGCCAACAGGTGTTGCTGTAATTCTCCAATGTTCACACATTCACTTCCCAAATTTTGAATCGGCTTTCTTTGACTCGAATCACCAAGGATTGATAAAGGTACTGGTTACTTCCGGTTCAGGAGTGTTTGAAAATGCGAATGCAGATTTTTGGGGTGATTTTCTGAGCCTTCTAAAATTCAGAGGCATAGATGTGGAGAAAAACTGTTCTGGAGACTCGGCTGATCTATGTTGGTGCCCATCCCAGTCTTTCTCCAAGCCAGGGTCAGCCAATTCAGGAATGGTTGTTGCAGTATCTTCAATTCTTCAATCTTTGGGTGATGATCCATCGAGGACGGAGCTTGTAGGAACTCCCACTCGTTTTGTGAAGTGGCTGATGAACTTTAAAAATTGTAATTTGGAGATGAAGCTGAATGGGTTTGCCCTTGGTAGAATGGATCCTTTTAAATCCAATGAGGATGTCACTCACACTAATGAAGAGATCTGTTCTGAGCTAAACATGTCATTCTGGTCCTTATGTGAACACCATTTACTCCCGTTCCACGGTGTTGTACATATAGGATACTACTGTGCTCGAGGAGTCAATCCCCTTGGAAAATCCCTTTTGCAGTCGGTGGTACATTTCCATGGTTTTAAGCTCCAAGTACAGGAAAGGCTCACCAGGCAAATCGCTGAGACTGTTTCGTCAATATTAGGTGGAGATGTAATGGTTGTAGTGGAGGCTAACCACACTTGTATGATATCTAGAGGTATAGAGAAGTTCGGAAGTAGTACAGCTACAATTGCTGTGTTGGGTCGGTTTTCAACTGATCCTGCTGCAAGAGCAATATTTTTGCGGAGCATCCCCACCTCTAAACCGACTGGATTGTGATGTTTTAATCCAAATCCTGCAATATTTTTTCAACAGAAACCTGTGGTCCTTGTTCATTCTGCTAGTCACACAGGTATAACAAGGACAATCCATGATCAGTAGCAGATCTAAAAAGTGCAGGTCTTGCTCGGAGTTTTGTTTGCCGTTGTGGTAGTTGAGTTCAAGATGGTATGATAGTTGAGGAATCAGTGATTTTATTTATTTATTTTCTATCATTTACTTTGTGTGTGTAGCATATAGATAATCTAATTTGATGATGATCATTTGATATATACACCATTTGAGGAGTCATAATTTTCATATTTTTTGAGCGATGCTATTAGTAAAGTGATTTACATTGGTCATCTTTATGATTTTTAATGTTTACTGCATTTTGGTTAGCATTGTCAACTGATGCACAGTAAGGTGCCATTTCATTTGAAAGGAATGAGGCCTACTCTTGCCTCTCTCTTAACACGACATTGTATTGTTTGATTCGTCTAGAAATGGCTTACATATTAACACCCCCAATTATGGCAACCCCTTGGTTCTGTTCAGACTAAAATTCCTTGTAGTGAATTGCACTGAATCCGCACACTGAATTACAAAGTTCGAGTGGTGGCAGGACATTAACAAAGTTTGGGAGCCAAATGAAGCTTCTTGAATTTGAAATTCGAAGAAATTATTTAGTTAATATGCGATTCAGTGCTCCCACAAAAAATAAAAAATAAAAAATAAAATCATATGGACAGTTCTGGAGCAATTATCTGCCGAGAATCATTAGTACAGTCCATGTTTCGCGAATGCATTATACAACGTAATGGTGAGTATGGGCAGTGAGGACAAAATCATTTCTCCATTCCAGTTAAATTCCAATTAAACTGTCTAGACGTAACAATTTAGAAGGAAATTTCATCTGGCCCTTAAAAAGAATTGAACGAAAATCTCCAAAATAACCACATCATGCGCAAAAAGAATAGGCTTCAACTGCAGCACATGACAGGAACAACACTTGTCTCCTCACCGTTGCTGATGCAGCATAGCAATAAAATAAAATCATCTTGTATTTAAAATTCAAAATGAATCATTTAAACATTATGTCATATGGTGGTTCCTCGTCACCGGTTAGGAGACAAGTATTGTTCTATGTAACACCAAATTTAATACCAACAGAACACGAGCATGAAAAATGAGACGCTAACATAAGTCCACCATATTACCATCTAACAGCAAAAGCGCTTCAGTACATGAAACCCGAAAGTGTTTAAAATATATTTTGGGTACAACTGTAGAAACCACTTTGCATAAATTAAACAGTATACAATAATCCATTGCATGCTAATCCAGTCGGAGTGGGTAAATTTACCCAATTTGAGAAAAGCTACACGTGGATGTAGAAAACACAAATACATGTACTTCGAGCATAAGACATTTGGTTTATATACAGTATGTTTTGGATTTTACGAGCATGACATATACACGTAAGCTAATTATATTCCGATTCCTACCACAGGTGTCGGATTTTATGCCAATCTATATGGATATCGGAATTAGAGGCACTATGCTTGCGAGCACAATGTCCACGAGTACCATAAATATGGGCTGCTGCAGTAATGGCAATCCCCAGGATTATTACCACGAACAAAAATGCAGGTAGAGATACTTTAAAATCCTGCATGAAAATATGAAAATCAGCAGATTTTCCAAGGAAATAGCTATGCTGAATAGAATATAATCTAATAATAAAAATGGACTGCCCATTAAACTTAATTGCAGTGTCCTTTTATTGCACGCATTAATGTTCATGCATCAATTAGGTTACACCACGTTTACCACTTTATAGTAACATGTATGGAGTATATGTGTGCATGTGTGTACACACCCACACAAACACATAAATTTATGTATGTATCTGTGTATGCATGAAATTTCCAAGGATCTTCAATGGTTGCTATACAATGTAAACGAGATCATTCATTTTAATAGTTCATTGATAAAGAAAATCCTGAAATTGATCCAATACGAACAATAAAATACTCATTTTGAATGCTACTCTTCACTTTTTTGATAAAGAAAATCCTGAAAAAGAGTATATCTTTGTGTATTGCTTAAAGGACTCGTCTCAATTGGTTCTAGAGCACAAACAATCTCTTAAGACATTTAAACGAGTTTACTAGCAGTGTGAGAGCCATTGCGACAGCCATTAACAAAGTTTATTCTGTTGAACCACTGCAAAAGTTGCGAAAAGGTGAATATGCAAAAGAGTGAACATGCAATCATACAAGGGTCTTGTCGTGTGGGTGCAACTACTGCATGATCTAACCATAGTGAATAATCAATGGACAAGCATACAGAAGAATCAAGACTTCACAAGTTTCGACAGTGTGTCTACGTGGAAATAACAAACCACTGTCAAAGGATCAAATGGTATGATAAGAGAACTTAAACAATCAAATCATTTATCTCTTCCCTGTTATAAACTCTCTCAACTGTCTCTTATCTCTCTAATATGTTTTCCTTGGAATTCATAGCCAAAAGAAACAATTTCTGAACGGGAGACCAACACTCACACCACCTCTGGCAAAGCTCGATTTGTTGTACTAAACCCTTCAATCAATCACGAGAGAGCCTTGAGTGGCTGCCTCAATTGGTCAACCACATATGAGTGAGTTTTTACTGTTTCTATACCTTACCTCAACCTGTCCAATATCTTCTAGACTTGGCCCGATCATTGCAATGTTTTACCTCAACCAATTGGGACGGCATTACATTGAACAAAAAACATTTGCAACTTCAAAAAACAACCTTTTCTGTGTCATAGAACCCAATCAACCAAGTACAAGCAGGAAAGACACTCTATGGTACCGTGTAAGAAACACCTACAGCAAGCAGCACCAGCAGAGGTCTTATTTAATTACTCAAGGCAGAGAGATTTTTTTTTTTTTTTTTTTTTTTTTTGTTTTTTTTTTCTTCGCAGAGGATCAAAGATGTATGGTTTTAAACATGTGTCTTGGTGATTGATAGTAGCGAAACAGTAAATGGAAAGGATAAAGACAAGTAGTTGCAGCTTGATCTGAAGAGATGGAATTACTAAGAAGAATAGGACTTGGCAGTTGTTGAAACTACCCAAAAAACAAATAGGTTATAGGGTGCAAATGTGTGTATAGAAAGGAGGAAGAATTGCTGGAAAGAGGGTAAAAATTTCAAGGCCCATTTGGTAGCCAATGATATTCACAAAAGGAGAATTTATTGCAATGAAATCTTTTTCCTTTGTGTTTCACATTTCCATTGAAGTTATTTTACTGAGGTTCCCCTCTTGATTGGTGGATCTTGCAACTCACACACGCCATACTGCTCCAGCAGCTCCATGGTAGTAGGCTTGAACCACCCATCTCCCCTTTAGCTCATGCCATCAGAGCCAATTGCCCTGTAAGTCCATCTATGTCCTGCCTGCATTAGGTGGCCAATCTGCATTCAACTGGAGGGAAACTTTGTACTACACCTTAGTTTGAGAGGCCTATGCCTCATACAAACTATCTACCTAAGATAGAACCTTTACCCTTAGGCCCTAACACAATATAAGAATTCTAACTCATTGCATAACAAGGAGTTGAAGCTGCTAGATGTAAAAATCACCTTCCTTTATGGTGATTTAAAAGAACATATCATGATGTAATAAGACTTGAGGATTCAATATATCAAGAGAAACATGAAAAATCATGCTAAGTCAAGTCTACAATTGATGAGGTAAAATCATGTTGAGCACAGAGTACATGAAGAATCTCCTTGGCATAAGAATCTAGAGCGATAATAGGGTTGAGAAACTATCTTTGACCTAGATAATGTATGTGGAACACCTATGGTACCGCTTCAACAAGTCCATCACCTTACCTTGACTGCTCCACAAACTTCTGGATTTGCCCTTTTGATCCATTACTTTACGTAGATTGGTGGGGTGTCCTATTGACTAACACTTCGAACCTGAAATGCTTCAAAACTTCCAAAAGCAGCCCTTTGATGTTGTTAGCATATATGATAGCCACGATTTATGAAATGACTTACCATATTAGCAGAGATTTGATTATGCTATAGAATATGCCATAGAATATGTTTTAGAATATGCTGTGATTTGATTTAGATTTGATTTAGTTTAATTTCTTGTAATATAAACATGTGCTCTTTTTATCTATAAATACTAGAGCTGTGAATGAGTGATTCATCTCATTCAAGCCTTTACATATTCTTAAATCTCATTCAAACATTTTACATATTTCTCTTTGATTTAGTTTCATTTCTTGCTTCTCCTGGACAGTTGGTTACCGTTGGCAATGCAGTTAATGATCTGTCTGAAGGAGTAACGGTCTGTGTGGGAAGAGATTTGCAGTTTAAGCTGTCCAATTATGAGGCTGTGGCTCTGTTCAAAGAGCTACAATTAAATGTTGCGTTGAAAGTTCTTAAATGTATGCCTTCTGCAACAGATGAGGAGAATGAGGTTGGTAGTATTGTCGGATTGGGTGATTATGTTACAGATTCAGATTCTGTTTATGAGTATAACATAAAAACTGAAGAGGAGTTGGCTGATGACTTGGGGTCTATCCAACAAGTCTGCTCTAATGAGCTTCAACCTTGGCTGAAGGATGACTCTTAACATATCAGTGGTGGAAACCCTGGCAGTGGCGAGACCTGATGATGAGGTTACTGATTTGGGGAGGGATTGGGTGGTTGATAACATTGGAACTACTAGTGAGTTGTTGGGAGTATCTTCAGAAGGTAATCATGATAAGACTTTATCTCTTCTTCAAGCAATTGTGACTGGAACTGAGATAGCAGTCATTAATGAAGTTATAAACACGAAGCCCATATCGTCTTGGAAAGGGAAATGCTTCAGATATTAAGAATTTTCGTCCTATTAGCTTAGTGGGTTGTTTTTACAAACTCATAACTAAGGTGCTTGCTCAAAGAATGAGGAAAGTTATGGATGGGATTATTTCAGATTCCCAGAATGCCTTTGATGGAGGACGGCAAATTCTTGATTCAGTTCTCATCACCGGTGAATGTGTGGACTCAAGGTTGTGTAGTGGTGTTCCTGGAGTTCTATGCAAACTAGACATTGAGAAAGCTTATGATCATGTAAATTGGAATTTCCTTCTCTACTTGCTTCAAAGAATGGGGTTTGGAAATAGATGGAGGACATGGATTGAGACATGTCTTTCGTCTGTCAAGTTCTCAATTCTTGTGAATGGTTCTCCAGCTGGTTTCTTTGGGTGCTCACAGGGTATAAGACAAGGTGATCCATTGTCATCTTTTCTTTTTCTTATTGTTATGGAGGGCTTAAGTAGACTTATGCGCCGGGCAAAGAATCTTGGTCTCATTAAGGGATTCCAGGTAGGAAGAGATATTGACAATCAGGTGGAGATTTCACATCTGCTATTTGCAGATGACACTCTGGTTTTCTGTGATGCAAATGTGTCTCAACTTTAGATATTTGAGGTGCATTCTGGCTTGCTTTCAGGCAGTTTCCGGGCTAAAAATAAATGTGGCCAAGAGTGTGCTTGTCCCGGTCGAAAATGTACAGGACATATCTTCTTTAGCTACAGTTCTTGGGTGTAGGGTGAGCTCCTTTCCTATCCCTTATTTGGGATTGCCCCTAGGGGCTTCTTCCAGGTTAGTGGGGAGTTGGGATTCTGTGCTTGATAGGTATGCAAAGAGGTTGGCAGGTTGGAAGAAGCAATACTTGTCTAAGGGGGGTAAAGTAACTCTTATCAAGAGCACTTTATCAAGCCTTCCCACTTATTTTCTTTCTATGTTCCAAATTCCATGCTCCGTTGCTGATAGAATTGAACAAATTCAAAGGAGTTTCCTTTTGGGGAGGAAGGGGAGAACAGTTCAAGTATCACCTTGTTTTATGGGAGCAAGTATGCAAGCCTATAAAACTGGGGGGTCTCGGTATTAAACGATTGATTCCTTTTAATCAAGCTCTTTTGGGCAAATGGTTACGGAGATACGGGAAGGAAAGACACCGTCCTTGGCGTAGATTAGTATCTTGCAAGTATGGGGAAGAAGTTGGCGGATGGACTACACGTCCGTTTTCTATTGCGGGAGAAGTTGGGGCTTGGAAATCCATTCGAAAAGGATGGGATGCCTTTCCCTTTCATATCAGATTCAGAGTTCGTGATGGTAGTTGCGTTCGTTTTTGGGAAGATCTTTGGTGTGGAAACCAGCCTTTATGTTGTACATTTCCCAGATTATATAGTATTGCAATTGATAAACATGTCATCATAGTTAACTGTTATCAGCTTGATAATAGTGGGATTACGTGGACTGTTCATTTTCGGCGTTCATTTCAAGATTGGGAGTTGGAAGATATGAGCATTTTCTTGGATCAATTGTATCGGCAGGAAGGAATTGGCAGGGGTTATGACAATTTGATTTGGATTCCCTCTTCTTACGGTCATTTTGAAGTAAGGTCTTTGTTCTTATGTTTGTCTAATTTTGCTACCTATGATTTCCTATGGAAGACTATATGGCGCTCTACGGCTCCTACTAGGGTGGCATTCTTTATATGGACCGCCGTTTGGAGTAAGATTCTGACGATCGATAATTTGAGGAAAAAAGGAACTATTCTTGTTAATCGGTGTTGCATATGTAAGCAGGATGGGGAGTCAGTCGATCATCTCCTAATGCATTGCTCTGTAGCGCACGATTGCTGGAATCTTATTCTTGGCCTATTTGGCATGTGCTGGGTAATGCCACGTTCTACTAAGGAGTTGATTCATGCTTGGAGAGGTTGTCGTGTGAGTAGGAGTGTTCGTGATTATTAGAGATATGTTCCACATTGTATCTGGTGGTGCATTTGGAAGGAGAGAAATAGTAGAATGTTTGAAGGGAAGGAGTCGTTTACAGCGACACTGAAACTTTTTATTATTCGTTCTCTCTTTAGTTATGTGAACAGAATTTCTTGTTCCTCTTTTGATGATTTAATTTCTTTTTTGGATTCTTTGGGGCCTTAAACCCCGGTCATTCTAATGTTTATGGAACGCGTTCCCCTTTTGAACGCCTTTTTTAATTTATTATTACTTATCAAAAAAAATATTGCATTTTTTCTTGGTATCAGAGCCAGGGTGGTCTGACTGCAATGAGGGCATTGCGAGTTTAGAACCACCCATTCGGGAATGGTCTAAGGTGAAATCGCCTATCCGGGAGGTGTTGGGTAGGCAGGGTGGTCCGACCTCAATGAAGGTGTTGCGAGTTTGACACCACCTATTCAGAAATGGTCCGAGGAGACATAGTTGTTTCTTTTTATGGTCTAAGGAGACATTGTTGATTCTTTCATCTACATTATTTAAACATATGTATAAAGGGGAATGGTCTGAGGAGACATTGTTGATTCTTCCATCTACATGTTTTAAATATGTGTATCAAGGGAAATGGTCCGAGGAGACATTGTTGGTTGTTTACGGTCTGAGGAGACATAATTGGTTGTTTATGGTCTGAGGAGACATTGTTAATTGTTTATGATCTAAGGAGACATTTTTGATTTGTTGTTTGACACTTCATCTGAGAGAAAATCATCGCTAGTCAAATTTGCACTCCATTTGTCACAGGCTCTCAGCAGCTTGCAAGCATTCTTACAAAGAGCGTTAGCAAGATTGTGTTTGAGAATGCATTGTCCAAGTTGGGCGTTTCAGATATCCACGCACCAACTTGAGGGGGAGTATTAACATATATGATAGCCACGATTTATGAAATGACTTACCATATTAGCAGAAATTTGATTATACTATAGAATATACCATAGAATATGTTTTAGAATATGCTGTGATATGATTTGGTTTCATTTATTGTAATATGAACATGTGCTCTTTTTATCTATAAATACTAGAGTTGTGAATGAGTGATTTATCTCATTCAAGCCTTTTTATTAAATCTCATACAAGCATTCAAACCTTTTACATATTTCTCTTCTCTTTGTTCTATATTGTATTTCTTTTGTTATAGAGCACAATACGTCAAATGAAAGATATTTTATCCTCAAAACAATTGTTTGGCCTTTTGAGATCTGGCATATAATGTGATCATTTTTTGGATTCCTTATATTGAAAAATATATATATATATATATATATATATATATATATATATATATATATATATATATTCAATATTCTAGTATCATTTTGGGGATGGCTAAATTTAGATCCGTTCAAGATGATGAATCCATATCCTCTAACATTGTGAGGAGCATGGAGCCATTATAACTCACAGCACATTCAAAAAGGCTCAAAGTGAACTAAGGGTGGTGTGATAATCATGGACACTCCTCAATAAGGCACAAAGTAATAGGCCAACTTGGTGTTGCTGATGCGGGATTCAAAAGGAACAAAAACTCAATCAAGTAAATAAACCTGACTTAACACCCGTTGATATTGGAGCCAACCATTCACATTAATAAAGCTACCAAATTGTCAATCTGAAATATTTTTTTTCGGCAAGTAAAATAAAAACCATAAAAATCTAAATGGTTTCCTTGCTCTAAGATTTATATCCGTAATGACTATTTCTTCAATCAGCTTTAATACCTATCAGGCTCCAAGGCTTCTTCCAGATATCATAATTTTCTCATGCCAATTAAGTAACCTGCAATGACTTTTGTTGTATCGAGTGAGGAAAATTTTGTTTGGCCACAGCTTGTCCTATAATGAACAAAATGAAACCAGATGACCCTCCACTGATGTCTTCGTGAGCCTAAGAAGTCAATCACTAGGCATGATGTAAAATTCCAAAGCTGGCAAGGCATGAACTGAGTTCCTCACATGAAGAGATGAAGAAAGATTATTATATTGTGTGGATTGGGTAAGCAGAGATCTCTATTTACTCTTTTGTGTGGATTGCATAAACATATGGGATTGGGTTTAGGGAAGGATGTTTACTCAAAGCCCTTGTATCAAACAACCAAGTGCAAAAATACATGTTTGATCGTGACAGCAACCACTTGTACCAATTCAGCCAGAGCATGTGTAATGGAGGCCTACCCTTCCAACATTGTGCGTAGACAAGACTAACACCGGATAGTGATGTTTATGGTTTCTCCCCTCCCCCCACAATTGATTGGAAAATAATTGAAGGTGACAATTTTGTATTATGAAATGTGCAGTAAATGTTAAATAATTATTGGTAAATTGCATGAACCTGAAAAGAATTTAGACAGACCTACCATGAGGCCAAAAGGGTTTCATTATCCTCCATTTTCCATGTTTAGTTTGTTGTATATAAATGCATGTACAATACTGACACCGAGATTTAGTCCTACATAGAATTTTGATAGACCTAACTTTACCATTGTTTTTTTTTTTTTTCTTTCCAGAAGGTACTTTACCATTGTATTGTAGCTCGGTAGCTGATAGGCACTGCAAATGATATCAACGGATTCATACATGTGTGCATGCAACTATACGTAAGTGCATATGTATACCAACAGTCACCAATGCATTGTAGCTTGGTAGCATGTAGGCACTGGAAGTGACATCAACACTCCTATATGAGTGCATGCAACTACGTTTTAAGTGCGTACATTTGTAATTTGCAATGCTGCTCAACAACCGACTCTCAGTAGCATGATAAAGAACATCTAAGAGAGTTATTGGCAGAGACCAGAGACAGACAAATAGACATCTAAGAGAATTCCCGGAAAGATTTAGAGAAAAATCAGGAGTAAATTGTAAGAGGGAAAAAAAATAACATCAATAGCACATGTTATAATATTAACATGCAGAACACTTTGGAAATTCTGCAAAGACCTACAGAAGAAATCACTATTGGTCAATTTTAATCTAATTGTGAAGCGGGTTATTGAGGGTCCCTGACTGCTTCAGCTGTAAAATGCTTAAGCATCGGTGTCACTGGCACGAGTTTGAAACTCAAAGCAGTCACTTTGTGAAATAACAAAGGTTAGATTTGTTTCAAGTCTTCTCTCCCTAGGACCCTTCCACGGCGAGACTAGAACTGGATAATACCTTCTATACCCTTTTGTGAAGCAGGTTATAAGCGAATAAGGTTCATATGCTTCAAAGAAATTGCATGTAGTTCAAGAGATATTTGTCACAGTGTAATGCAAACATGACAACATCTACAGAAAATTGGAAAAGGGGGAAGTACTCGTGCCACTCAAAAATGAAGCTGAAAGTCCAAAACTCAATTCTAAAGATAGAATCGAAAGAAGACAAATATACAAATACCCCAAAACTGTAACAATTACTGCAGGTATATCTTGCAAAAAAGATCAAACCTTGACCATAGACCTTCCCTTGCCAGGTAGATTTCTGTCAGCATGTTCGAGCGAATAACGTAACAAATTGACTACTGTCAACTCAGTTGCTGGATCGCAGCTTTCTGCAAAAGCAAGGAATTATGATTAATCCCTTAAAGATGGTTCATCATCTCACACAAATTTGAGAGCAGAAGAAAGGGTTAAAACATGTAATCACCTGGGATGTCAAAAATTTGTTTCACTGGATCAATACCAAGCAGCTCTCCCAAACGAACACGAACACGAGCACGTTCAGAAAGTGAAAGTAAGTCTCCATGTGTAACAACAATAACAGGCTTGTTATCTGTGACACAGGAAAAAAGTTAGGAAACTAATTGCCAAATTTCATTTTATTCATTTTTTTTTTGGGTGGTGGTGGTGGTTATGGAGGGGGGGGATCGAATTCTACGTCTCATCTCCCATAAAGATAAACAACTATAATAAAATGAGAAAGGATAAAAAAATAAAATAAAATAAAATAAAATAAAAAATAAAAAAAAACCCTTAAAATATCATAAGGCCACTAAATAAGAACCTTCAGCCTGAAAACCCCACAGTTATTTTGACCTGATAGATATATTCAATACCCAAGAAATATAAAAATTAAAATAAAAAAAAAATAAAAAAAATAAAAGTCAAAAAGAACGAAATGCCAACATGATATGCAGGGAAAGTGGAAATGAAAAGAAGTATGTAGAAATTAGCAAAAGAACATGGGCAAATCACTTCAAAAGGCAATCAGCCCGGATAAATTTCAGACTACCCTTTTCCACCTTGATTTCTAGAACTAATTTATATGCTTAAATACACTCCACCCAAGTTATAAAAGCTACCAGTTTCATTGGATGATTAAATCTGCAGTCAATAATACACTGCTAAGTTGTGTAAATTAATATCTTCACAATCAAAATAGAGTAGACAAAATAACGTCGTCATTCAGAGTAGACAAAATTTTATTACTATGGCTGACATTCCGCATAATGCAAATTTTCATCCAATTGTAGTATCCAACAAAGTATTGTGTGTGGGTGTGTATGAGAGAGAGAGAGAGAGAGAGAGAGAGAGAGAGCACATGAATAGTGAGAAAAAATATTTCAATCGTTCTTCTTGTTTGCAATACATTATATTCAATTGAAGGTTATATGGTGTATTCACTGGAGGAATGCTGCTCTATAGTTGCTCATAGTGGAGGCTTTTTATGGCATTTTTCCCACAAAAAAAATATGATATGTTTGGGATAAACATGCAACACTGTTAAATAACCTGTAATCCTGTAATGAATAAACCCCCCCCCCCCCCCCCCCCCCCCCCTCCCTCTCGCTCTGTCTGTCCCTTTCTTTTCTCTTTTGTACAACCCTACATCAGTTAAATATCTGTCATTTGTCTAGAGCATGCTTTCATCCTGCTTAAAATATCTCATGATGAAACCTTTACTTGTATAAGAACAAATATTATAGATCTGCAATTTAGATTTAGTACCTGCGTACACAATGTCTGGTACTATAAAATATGAGAGGAGTTATGAAAAAATTTAGTAAAATAGAACGAAGTACATGGATATCTATACAATTACTTTAATTTCCTCACATTTACAAGAAATCATCTTAGAAATGCTACACTCAAGGAAGCTGAAAAGAGAACTCTATATGGTCTTTGAAAAGCCAAAAAGCATACAATGGCACTGCCAAAAAAAGGTCTAGATTGATAAATTATGTGACATCAGTTGTCCAAAACCAATAACATCAACTTCCTAAAAGCATAATTTGTTGGGGTTTTGAAGAAGAATTGAGGTAGCATTGACATTTTAGAGAGCGAAAAATAGCAATGAAATGACAATGAGATAGAAAACTTCCAATAATTAGCTTCCAGTTACAATATACTTCCATTAGGAGTCAGCGTTCAAGTATGACTAAATTAATTCTCTTATTATTATTTCTGCAAATATTCAAGATGAATACATGCTATATGCAAACGAAGAAGCAAATAGAACATTAAAATTGTGCTCTGTGTCTAGAAATTTAAATTGTTATGAAGCTGAATGGAAAAAAGTACATGATAAATAGAGTGTAGATCAACTTTTCTTGAGCATTTTGGTTTTCGTTTTATTATCAAGTGGATTAAGTTGAGTTGCCTAGAAGGGAATAATTTCATAAATCACATTGACTTTCACAAATCAGTATAGTTATTTGTCAAGGTGTTAAATTCAACTGAGGCCCACTGCAAAACACATGCACTGTATCCAACATAAGCCCAGAAAACAGGGAGAAAAAAAAAAAATCTAATATTAATTATTAATTCAAATTAGCACACAGAACTTATGAATTATTAAAATTATTTATTTTATTCAGCTATTTATGGATTGTAGTCATTACTTTCTGACATACAAACAAGTTTTAAGAATACAACTTTTTCAGGTCAAAAGAAAACAATCTAATTTATTCAGTTCAGCACATCCATCGAAGGATATATAAGATGGCTACAGAGCATTCCTCCACCTCCTCTCTCCCTCCCACCCTCTCTCACTATCTCTGCACATACACTCGTGTGTGAATAGAATGATTATAAATGGTTACTTTGTACAACGGTATGCAAATATGTATCTATATGGTGTACATCTCGGAGAACCATAAAGAAGTCCAGTGGACTAGTCCCTCTGTCCCAAAAAAGATGTCTCTTTTGTGAGTCACAGTTCCCCAAAAGAGACATCTTTTTTGGGACAGAGGGAGTATTTGATTAGGGTTACTTACTCTTAGTTTGGATTTGATGCAACAACGCTTCCTTAAAACTGGTTCATGTAGGTAGAGAGAACTTATTTGGTTTGCTGGCACCACTCTACACAAGATTTAATAGCCCCCATTGTTCTAAGTGTTGACATTCATAATAAATAAAATGTCTATTAAGGCTCATTACTCATGGCCTTCCATGGTTAACCAGCATGCTGAATGATATGTGCATAACTAACGGATATTTGGGATCCAACATCCTTCCTTACTGAAGCTGGACTATTAAGCAGCCAAAACTAATTTAAGATCCGGGCCATCCTTTGATCTATGATACACCAGAAGAAAAGGTTTGAGGTTTCACTTTCAAAGTTTGTATCCACTCTGATTTCAGTTAGAAATTGAAACATCTGTACCCTTTTTTTGCTAAGTAAGATAATTATATTGATATGAAAAATCATTACCTACCAAAAAAATTTAATAGAAAGAAATTTTGAAGCATGAATTAATGCTTTGGAAATTCTCTTTAAATTTCACTAAGATCCCTCCTCGTGTGTATCCTTTTGCCTTTCGTATTAAGAATATATTAGTAATCCCAAAATATTTGAACAAATAAGCTATTGAGAAAACCCATTACGTGAAAAAATATCATCAAGTTCCTTCAAGTCCACAAAGAAACTACTGAAAAATTAAGTGTGTGTTGGTACCTTTAAATGACAAGAATGGGCAGTTGAAAGTTGTAGCGATTATTTGAATATACCGTGTCTCTGCTGCTGCAACATCATCGCTACTGTCCATGGATTTCAGAACTGAAAGCCCATTGACAACAAATATAACAAAATTGACCTTCCTGATCTCACTGTAGTAACCAATCTGGCGATCTTTGTACTTCATTCTGGTCTTTACACTTGAACTATCTGAATCCCTGGCAAAAAAAAAAAAAACCACGCGATAACTGAGATTCTAAAACCCGAAAGGAAAGCTGTGTGAAGTAATGATATCAACCTGATAACCAGCTCTCCATGACGAACACCTTTTGTCATCCAACGCTTCAGCATTTCCATGTCTTCAGATGAAACTTCAGATAGGCCTCGCGTGTCATATAGACAGAAAGAAGTTGAACATCGTGGAATCATATATTCCTGTAGGAAAAAGGTCCCATCCCCAGTAGACAAATTATCTGGCACGAGTGAGATCAATGAATCAGAAAAATAAATGAGTAATTTACCAGCCCTCTATTTGAAAAAGAACGGGGAAAATGGCATCCTTCATAATTCACGTCAACTTTAAGAAAAAATAAATAACAGGTACATGATACTTGGGCCCTTTCTGATGCAAACTTGTCAACTTCAAACACCCTTGAAATTCTATTAACAAGGCTGCTTTTTCCAGATCCCTTGGGACCAATCAATAAAAGCGACGTGGTCTTTGGTACGTCAAAATCACTCAACTGCATGCCTCCAACCTTCTCAATCCATGCTCCAGGGTTATAGCTGCAAAGAATACAATACTGCATTGGTTCAGCTGTCCATCAAAAATGGTTTAAAAATTCAATGATTATTACAACACATTGTAAGTAGTCAATCCTATTAAGAACAACAATGCTAAAAAATTGGCTTTGGAATATGGAAACGTCACCTATCAGGCTATCACTTAATTAGTACGGAGAATTTCTTGAAAAACTTTAGTCTCACACAAATCAACTCCAATTCCAGATCAATAAAGCTACTCAAAACCAATGTTAACATTGTAAACCTGAATTAGATGTTTTGATTTGTATATTACTTCAACTTCTATTAGTTCTCATAAATTAAATGCTTACATTATGTGCAATGAAGATGGGGGAGACCAATGAAGAGCAATTTGACTTAAATTGACAGAATTGTAAGGAAGGACAAAAAAAATTTCAGTAAAGCACCAAGAAATGTAGGATAGCAATAAAAGTTAGGGGTGGGACACTGGGACTTGGGTGGGCCTAACCTAAGCAACCCGATTCCCGCCCAATAGTTTTATGGGAGTGGGAAAGGTCATTGAGACTATGGGATGGAACTGGATTTAAACTTTAGAGCCCGAATTCATTTTGGGCGGGATTTGGATAAAAGTTTTAGTAACCCGAGGAACCCAAAGAACCAAAAATATAAAAATAGTTTATAACTTTTATATCAGGCTATAAGTAAAGGAAAATAAAGTACATTAAATTATTTATAGTATCATAAATCATGGACTCATGGTATTCACCAAACTCAAGTACTTTGGCACCAAGGGCCTTGTGGCCCAATCATATTTCCTCTACCTCCCAAGTGGATGGTAAGATTTCGAGTCTCTAAAGGAGCAAAGTGGGTGTGTGAGTACGTTTATTTTTAAAAAGTAAAAACTTTTAATAATTGAATTTTAGTTAAGGAAACCAAATATTAAAGAATATCAAATATTGAGTTTTTTTCAAGTTTATATTATGGGAACTTTTTGGACCATGTTACCTGTCTTAAATTATTATAAATTATATCTTATTGCTATAAGATTATATTACACATAATTTGGTTGTGTTTTTCACATGATATGAAAGGTTTTTTTTTTTTTATGTCTAACTTTATGTAGCTATATACTTTAACATTTTATTTTCTTATAATTTTATTTATTTATAGGTTATTAAAATTTGAGACAACCCGAGAAACCCAAAAAACCTGTGTAGTATGGCACGGGCTGAGATACAATGGGTTTCTTGGGACTTGGTCTTGGCGCAGGCGAAGGTGTTAAAACCTTGGGTTTGGCATGGGCTAACCCCTTTGCCCACCCAAGATATAGCCAAAGTTGAGAAATAAATCCCACCCTAGATATAGCCAAATCCCATAAGGGGCAATTGGCATTGTGTGCTCATCTCCTACTTACCAAAAAAAGGAGAGAGAGAGAGAGAGCAGCCGATCATTGCAAATGAGCCAATTACTAAATTAGCAGCCACCACGGTATATGATGATAAATAATTTACAAAGGATCCTGTAATGAAAACCTATGGCCACTTTCCTTTAAATACTATTTGAGACACAATAAAGCCAAATACATCTTCAATAAAGAACCACATCTCAATGAAATCATTAGTTTTATAACAGAAACTCTTCAGCAATCAAAGACTATGGCAATGTACCTTAAGACTTTACTCTATGCCTCTTTCATACTCACATTGAATTTGCAACCTGGAAAACTCCATTAGAATGCACATAACATTTTCAACCATCATGCCCTACATATTCTTGTCTATTTTCTCTCCCTCCCTTTTTGGTTGAAGAAATTAACAAACAATTATGATACCTCCATTTTGCAACTTCCCTCAGATGTGGACATAGAGTTTCCCTTACCATCCATGCATTGAACATGTGTGTAACTCTTCTGCTTTTTTCTTTTTGTGGGGGGTGTGACCGTGTGTGTAATTTTCAGTAGTATGCTAAGCTTCAATTTATTCTTTAATTCAAAAACAAATCAAATAAAATAATTTCAAGAATTAACCTTAAACCTCACAAGATCTCATCCATGGTAAGAAAAGAGGACATATTACCGATTAGATCAATGATCGGAACTTGATTTTCACTAAATCACACGCAGAATCTAAATTGATTATTATAGTAATAATTAATAGCACCATAAAAGTTTCTTCATAGTAAAATTTCAAAAGCATGATTAACAACAGAAATTCTTCAACTAACACAAATGGTAATATCAATAGACAACAAGAATAAACTTATTTATATAATACCTCAAGATTTTACTCTTGGCATCCTCCAAATTCCCAATCCGCCTCTGTAATTCATCGTAACTCCGCAACACTTGACTAAAAGCACCGAGTTTCTTCCTTTGATAGGCTTTGACATCCAAAGAATTTGAAGAAATTCGATGACTCACATCACCAAACTCCCCTATCACCGATCCATGTTCTTCACTCACTGTACCATCATCCAACTCCGTGTCCAAACCACCCTTCCTGAAAGATTAAAACCATACACCAACTGAAAATGTCCGGCTAACACATTATATTATCTTTCATCAAAAAAGAAAGAACAAATACCTGGGTGTTGGAAGTGATAACTCTGGCCATGCTTGCTCAGACGAAGAATCTTCTTCTGCAAGTTCAAACCCCAATATTTGTACATTTATTTCTCACTAAATCAAGATACATAAATATATATATATATATATAAGCAGGTAAGAAAATTTAGAGGCAGAAAGTACCAAGAGAGGAATTTCTATCGCCACCCATGATTTTCTTGCTTAGTTGCTTGAGAGCTCCTTCGCGTGGAGGTGGAGCCTTGTTTTCTCTCTCCGCTTTCTCTCTCTAATTTAAACTCCGACTTTCTTCGCTCTTAAGACTAGAACGAAAGTAGACGACGAAGGCTTTACCCTTTACATGGGTTGAAACTTGGAAGTAGAAAGCGTTGTGTGGAATTTTGTGCGTGTGTTGCGTCGTGCTTTGGGATTCTTTAAAAATTATGCGGACTATTAAAAAATGCACAATGACATAAATGCTCCTAATTCTAAATAGGGAAATAGTATTAAAGACATGTTTGTCATTTACCTAAAAAAAGAAGACCAAAAAAATGTAAGTATATATTGTATTTGAGCAAGGCTCGTCTTATTTAAAATTTGAAAGTTGAATAATTCTTTATTATTCACGATGTCATTAATATTTATAATGTTATGATAACATCACATTAATAAGATGTATTTAACTATAGAATTTCTTATTATTTTTTATTAAAAAAAAATAAGTTCAAATTAAAATTTGTGTTGGATGAAACCATTTTTGAGAATATCATTCAAAATGCATATATTCAATCAACTTAATTTTTAAATAATTTGAATTTTACTGATTTTATATATATATATATATATATATATATATATATATATATATATATATCAGCCTTTTACTTTTTACAACTTTTACATGTTTTAGAGGAACACAATTTACAATACCTTATTTTTAATATGAAACCAAGCAAGCTACAAGAATTTAAAAAAATAAAAAATAAAAAATCTTATAATATTCATCTTGTTGAAACAAGATTATTTGGTGGAAGGCATCTCAACCTTTAAATATTATAGGCTCTGGAAGACTGGGACTTACTATCTAATTACTGTTTGAGATGTAACAATGGCAAATCACTAGCAATCCTCTTTATATATATGTCTTAATGAACACCCTTTAATGCCACAAAAAAAATTTCATTCCATCTTCAAATTTACTCATTACTTTGTAATCCATAATCTTAAATTTATGTAGAACTTATGATATTTTGCTATTTTACCATTAAAAATGGATTTTTTTATTACTATAAAAAATACAAAAGAAATAGTGATATAGAGCCGTCTTTAAATAAATAGGTAGTTGTCTCCAGGGTATAGCGATGGTAGGAATAAGGGAGGTAAGTATTTGAGATCTTGTTTCGAACTGCATTCTTAATTTCAGTAGTGCGTGTGTTATGGGGTCGATAAACAAAAAAAATAATAATAAATAAATAAATAAGTATATGCATTGTCTTAAATTTGAACATATTATAGTCACCAACAAGTCATTAGTCCATCGTCATCACATTCCTTTTTTCTTTTCTGAGTCAAGTTATTTCATAGGTTGAGTAGTTATATTGGTAATATAAGGATGTCACCGTCAATTAACACAATAAAATGGAGATTCTAAAAGTGCTTGGACTGCTACGAACTCAGACTTTGTGACCTCCAAGGTCACCCCTGAAATTAGAGTGACTGGAATCAAGAGTTCAATGAGAGATCAAAACAGAACTTTCCACTCAGATTCATTTAGAATAAATGGGATCATCAAAATGTCTAAATAAATGAGTTAAAGAAATGAGACCACCTCTTCTATATTTCCTCTACCCTACACTGGATGTATATGATATCGGTATGTTACAGCCAAAATTTCATCATGGTAAAGCAAACACAACATCAATTCTACTATTTTTACAACGGTATCGGGTTTTCAAACTCTACAAAAAGATAATATAATAAGCTTTCTCACATTCCCAATGTAGTCCCCCCTCCATTGCCCAAGTCAAGCAATGATGAACAAATGTAAAAAAGCAAGAAAAGAAGCATGTGTGCAGGTTGCAAGACAACCCCAATTCGTGTCAAACATTTTCAGGATAAGGAATCCAGGCATTTTTAGTGCAAACAAGTCAATTCAATCGGCTCCTTGGAGGATAATAGAAAGCAGATGCAGCAAGAAACCCATAGTAAGAAATGACATAACATCCCGGGAGGGCTTCAGGATGCCAACTTGGGGATGACACAAAGGGGAGTCGAATCCATTCACTATCAATTAGTAATGAAGCAGTAACATCTGCAGACTCCAATGGAAGAGCTTAAACAATTGGCCTCTCGTTGTGATGCGTTTGCTCAACTAGCTTTAGTACCTCAAGGCATTTATGAGGTTCATCTTCCTTTGTTAAGAACTCAATATATGGTGTAAAAGCAACTTTGTCCTCGATACCAGCATAACTTAAGAGGTCAGATACCAAACTTTGAGCTTCTGGAAACTTCCCTTCGTTGCGAAGACCAACAATCAGAGAATGATAAGATGCAAAAGATGGAACAAAACCTTTGCTGAGACTTAGTTTCATGAGCTCAAGGCAATAATCATACTTGCGCTCCCTGTAGTAGTGCTCAATGATAAAAGAACAAACAGCCTTGTCGGGAAAGAGACCTTGTCTTACCATATCTTGGATAAGGTCATTTGCTTCTAATATTCTTCCCACTTTGCACAAACCCATAACTAACAAATTGTACAAGTCCACAATGGGACAGCCACATTCCTCAATCTTATCTCGGAATTTCAGAGCAAGGCCAATATTCACTTCCCCAAAAACATGATCAGAAATGCAATTATCATCAATTTCCCCCGTCAGTAATGATCTACCACCTAAATCATCCATAGGATTTACAGATTCTTTTCCTGTAGCCTTATTTGACATAACAAATCCGGCAAGCAATGCAGAATAGATACGAGTATTTGGTCGACGACCATTTTTAACCATAACACTCACAATTTCAAAGGCACGATCCAACCTACCTGCCTTGACATGTGCTTTTACCAATATAGTATAAGTAATGTGGTTTGGAGATACTCCTAAAAGGGGCATCTTGAAAAGAAGAGCCTCTGCTTCCTCCACTCTTCCAATTTGGCAGAGACCATTGATCACAACATTGTATGTGTAAACATTTGGGATGCAGCCAGCTTGCTTCATGAGGTCTAACATATTCAAGGAATGACTAGTATCACCTACTCGGAAAGATCCATCAATTAAGATTGTGTAAGTCACAACAGAAGGAACTAAACCGTACTTCACCATCTTCCCAAGAATTGCATGTTCTTCATTCACCTTAATTTCTTTGCTAAAAACATCAAGTAACAAGTTGAATGCATGAGGAGTTGTCAAACACCTATCTTCAATCATCCTGTCAAAAAGCCTAAAAGCATCTGCAGTCTTACCAATCTTGCAATAGCCATTAATAAGAGCAGTAAATGTAACTTCATCAGCAGGTATTCCCTTCTTCACCATCAAACCCAATAGCCCATTTGCTTGCTCAAGTGACCCTTGTTTGCAGAGCCCGTCAATCAATGTGGTATAGGTAAAATGATCGGGTTGAAGGCCAACTGAATACATTGAATTTAATATATTGAAAGCCATATTGAGTTGGCCTTCCTTGCAGAACCCATCAATCAAAATGTTATAGGATACTCTGTTAGGCCATATGCCATTATTGACTACCTTTCTCAATAGCAAAATCGCTTTGCAAGTTCTATTTAAACTACACAACCCTTCCATTAATTCATTGTAGGTCCGTATATTAGGCTTGGAATTTCTTCTTTCCATCACACTAAGTAGCTCAAAGGCAGAAATCACCCTCCCCTGTTTGCAGTAACCATTGATCAGCGCATTATACGTTACTGTGCCAGCAAAAAGCCCATCTTTTAACATCTTCCTGAACATCCCATTAGCTTCCTCAATCTTCCCTTCTCCACATAATCTATCTATCAACACTGTGTAAGTGTGAACATTTGGTTTACACCCCTTCATGGCCATCTCATCGAACAAACCTATAGCCTTATCCATCAATCCTGCATCACAAACAGCTTTGATGAGGACAGTGTATGTACGGGTACTTGGCTGGCAACCCTTTTCCTTCATTTCTTCCATTAATCGAAATGCTTCTTCAAGCTTGCCCGCTTCACATAAACAGTGTATCAGAATTGAGTAAGTAACACTATTGGGGCTGCAAACATCCCTTTTACACATTATATCAAACACTCGGAAGGCCTCCGGGAGATCACCTGCCCTTGAACTACCCAACACCAAAGAAGTATAGATATGAGCATCCAAACCGAACCCAAGTCTCAAAACTCTCGACAAGAACATTTCAGCAGCTTGTACAAACGCATCCTTGCACAGAGCATTAATTATGTTCTTGTAGTCAATGATATCAAGAACAAACCCATCACCTACCATTCTTCTGGAAACCAAAAATGCTGGCAAACCCATACTCAACTTAGCTAAACAGATCAAAAGAGTACTGTAACAAGGGTAATTGAGCCTAAATCCAATCACTCGCATGTCGTCAAGAGCACCCATTAGCTTCAAAATCTCATTTTCGCTATCAGTGCACTCTTTAATTAGAACAATTATGGCCTTATGTGCAATCACAAACAAATTATTCGATATTAATAAATTCAATAGATGAATTCTACTATCCAAATCATAACAATATGTGGATTGCTTACATACCCATTTGAAAAACTGAACCCCGAGTTTGATGTTGGTACTGTTGAGTGCCATTACATTGGAAGCTACATGAGGGGTCATGTGAGAAACCAGTGATTTTAGGTGGTGGTCTTGTTCCCAGTTGGGTTGGTTTATCAAAGTGGAGACACGATGAACAGCGTCGTCTGAGGCGTCTGGAGATCGAAATGAAACAGAGGAAAGCATGGAGAGAGATTGCTTAAGGTAATAGGATCTGAAGCAGAAGTTGAGACGTTTGCTTGTGTGAGACAACATGCACAAATATTTGTGGAGAGAGGGGTTAGAAGTTGCAACATAGAACTGGCGGTGCCCAAGCACAGAAAAAAGAGACCGTTAGCCGGTTTATGTTTTGAAAACGTAGAAATTATGCTAGCCTATACCGCCCTAAATTGAAACGAACATTGAGTTTGATCGATATACTATCATCCGTTTGATTGGATGACTAATCAGTATCATTAATTCATGGATGTAATAGAAGAGATGGGAACACCCTGATTGTCTGTATATCACATTTCCACGAATGAATTTTTTTTACATAAATACCCATGCTAAGGAAATTGAATTAAAAGAAAAATATATATTTTTATAGATTGTCCTGACCACATAGTATCATCTTAATAAATTTATGTTGATGAGTGAATTTAATTTCCTTTACCCATTAATTGAGCTATTTATTATTTATGTGTCAATCTCTTCGATGCTCTGAGTCAGATTGATTCTGCAGCTACGACCCGTATCGATTTATATAGACAATAATGGACTATCTTTTCAATTAATGAGTGCTTCATTATTCAAAAGGAAATAGATCATCTAAGATTAAAAAAAATAAATTCACTAATCAACATTATAAAAAAACACTACTCAACATTATAAAAAAAAAATCAATAAATTTTAGTAAGATGATGTTATGTGAGACTACTATTTTTTTTTTTTTTCTTTTTAATTCGATTTTCTTATTATGAGTATTTATGTTTTCTTTCCGATCCCTTTAAGGGCAATTAACCCTCTATTAGCCAAATAGGTAAGTTGCAACAATTAGTAAATAAATGTTGTTTATTGCCAAAAAAAATAAAAGAAAAGAAAAGAAAAAAGAGAGGGGGTATTGTGTAACATTTTGGAATTAGAGGGGGATTTAGTGCACTAAGGCCAAATTAGTATCTTGCAATTGAATTGGAAAGAAAAAAAAAAAAAAAAAATTTACATTTGAAAGCACCTACTAAAATGAAAATAATTTAATTCAAAGTTTTAATTAAATTGTATTGATTTTTAATACAATTTAAAAGATAATTCATAGAAGATTCAACCTTACACTTTTTCAAGTACCAAAGATTCAATTCCTAAGAATCATTAATCCCTCACATACTTCATAGAAAGATAATTCATAGAAGAATGTTTAGTATAAATAAAATTGCTTCTTCAGGTACATCTACGGGACATATGTGAACACATATTTCACAAGCAATGTATTTGTCAAATTCAAAGTGAATCTCGATCTCTTCGTGAGATCGATTCATTTTTGTATTACTTATAATTTTTTTGTTGGTAGACAAAATGAAATTGTCTTTCATTTCAAGGCATAACTTGTTATGGGGTAAGAAATAAATCAAGGTCATCATTTCCTTTGGTTTACCTACACAACCAAAATATTATTCTAAAGCCTCATATATTAATGAACTCTATGGAAGAGTTATTTATCGAATCGATCTATTAACAATCACTAGACCTATACTAGGAGAATTAGTAATAATTGAAATGACAAATATATTTACTCCATCAATAACGGAGTCGAATATGGTGTATCACAAGGAATTTGCTTCTTCTATTGATTTATAGGGATTCAACTCTAAAGATGCATAAAGATTGTCTTATATTTATAGAGAACAATACACAATACTTGCTTCCCGCTCAAATGATTTTGGACTCCAAGTAAACTTGATGAAAATTGTAATTCTTTCTACCTTTCGAGATAACTTAATTCAATTAGGTGCTTTCAAAGCAATTTTATTTTTATTTTTATTTTTTTTCAATTCAATTGCAAAAAAAATCATTTAATTCAAAGTTTTAACTAAATTTCATTCTAATTTTAGATTTAAGTCATTGAATTTGGTGTTCAGAACCATCCATTGATAAAGTGAAACGCATGCTTTAGAGACGTTCTCACAATCCAACCCCTACTAACATAGTAACATGGTTGCTTGAAGTATCTTCATTGCGGGCGGTGGAGGAGCATAACGTGGTTGCTTGAACTATCTTCTTCAATGCGATGGTGGAGGAGCATAGCTAATCGATGCAACCATTTTTCTTATGTCCTTTCCAATAATTATGCAAAATATAGGAAATAAAAATGGCCCATGTCATGTTATAACTATTTTGTTCATTTTCTCCTATGCTTTTTTCTTACCTAATGCCATTGCATTTACTTATTGATGAAAATGAAAATTAGAATTGTTCTTTGACAATTTATTTATTTCTGTATCATTATTAAATTTTTTTGGGTGAAATTTCAGGGTTGCCATATTATGTTCTAGCCGTTCAATGGTTTCTTAACTTTTTATTTTTTTTCTTTATAAAAAGGTTGATAGTTTTGCTGCTTCTATTTTTTTATTTTTCCACATTTCTCACTCTCTTTTTTCTTTTATTTTTTATAGCGATGTGACCTTCCAAATGTGAGATAAATTAGAAGTGGGGCATATTAGTGATAAGATATATAATATATATTTTAGATATATAATATATATTTTAGGTAGTGTAAACGTATCAAAGAAGATCAATCTAATGGGGATACATGGGGAGTGAGATGTTGGTAACAAGTAAAAATGGAATGAGATCATTATAAATAATTTTAAAAAATTAGATATTGTAGCAGAAATGACTTTAATAAATAAGTAAACAAATAAAAGAGACATGAAAGGGAAAAAAAGCAAAAGAAAAAGAAAAAGAAAAATGGTGTTTAGTGTTGATGAAATTGAATTAATAATGAGGGAGTAATACAAAGTGGCCCAAAGGAGCTAGCACAATGCTAACTACAAAGAAAACCAAAGCCCAATGGAAACCAGAAAGGCCCAAAAGGAAAAAATAACATTGGGACGTGTCCAAATCATGCTAAACAAAATGAGCACAAGATAGATACAGTCAACATATATTCCGATGAACATGGAGAAATTCCAACTGGGAAGATTCACAATCAATCAGGCGGTTTTTCCGGTGGTCGAATTACTGATTCGGGCAATTCCTACTCAAGAGCGATCCTTTTGGAATTGAGTGTATCTGTGATGGACGAGATAAGAAGCTTTTCTCTGATAGACTGAAGAGTGAGATGGAGTAAAGAATTGGCTGTCGCTGCTTTCTTCTAGAAAATCCTCCTGTTACGTTCATTCCATATGTAATAGACCAGTGAAGCTAACCCCATTTTAGATATAGAAAAGTTGCGAAAAATTGAAATACCACGCCAGTGATGTGAAGCCTAAATGATGAGCTCTCTCCATGAAGAAGGCTAGATATAGAACCCATATTGTGCTTGAAGAAATGCCCATAAGGGCTTGACAAAAGGGCAATTAAAGAATAAATGACCATGGGACTCAAGGTCAGAGTTGCAGAGGATGCAGAATGTTGAGTGTATATGTGATGTACACCTCCTGTTCAGTGTTGGCAGCCTATTTTGAATAGCAACCCAAAGGGTAAAAGAGTGTTTTGGAATCAAGGGCGGAGGGAGGGGTGGGCGAAGGTGGGCTTCAGCCCACCCCAAAAAAGATTTTTTTTTTTTTTACTATACTACTTTTAGCCCAGCCCAAAAAAAAAAAGAAAAATTAGCCCACCCAAAATTAACCCAATATAGAATTAGCCCACCCCAATCAGCAACCTTGGATCCGCCCTTGTTTGGAATTGAAGGTTTGGTCCAGACCAGGTGGTGCCATGGAAGTGTGGGTAGGTGCTTGTTGAAGTGTTTCAGGGTTTTGGATATGGATAATAAGGCAGAGTTAGAAGGGATCCAAAGAAACTTATCACAACAGTTGGTTTTGGGGGGTGGTAGCGATGCATTGCATTGCATTGTGGAAGGATGGTGGTGACGGCTGCTGGAAAAGACCATGAAGAGTGAGTGATAAATAAACTAACTTTAGTTTTAGAATCAAAACCTGAGTTGAGCGTCTATTATTGAGAGACTATAAGGTGAAGAAGACCTAGAGAACACCATATGTCAAACCAGAAATTGGATGATGAACCATCCCTAATTTCGAGTTTGACAAGAGGAGAGATTGAATCTCTAAGACCAAGCAGTCTCCTCCAACTCCAAGAGCATTGACCTGGGACCTTTACTTCCCAAACACTTCTGCCCTTTAAGAGAAAGGTATGGATCCACCTCACCCAAAGCAAATCTCTTGAGTTAATTAAATGCCAAAATTGTTTCATGATTACACATTCATTCCATGTATGAAGGTTAGGCAGACCAAGACCCCTGCCCTTTTAGGTAAGCAGCACTTATCCTAAGCATTTTTAGCACATGTCCTCTTGAGTGAAGGACCAGACCAAAGGAATGCACCAAAGAGACTTTCCAGTTCTTGAGTGATACTCATTGGAAGGATAAACTTGGAGCTCCAGTACATTTGTGTGGAGTACAAGACAACCCTTATAAGTTGACGTCTACCTACAAATGAAAGGGTTTTACTTGTCCAATGCCCAATTCTAGCAGTGATATTATCAATGAGGATCCTGTTGTCATTTGCTCTAAGCATGGATAAAACTAGAGGTACCCCAAGGTATTTCACAAGTAGGGTCCTTTGTTAACTCCAAGAGTGTTGAGGATGGTGGATTCTAATTGCCCATTAACACTAGAGAAGAAGATTTGACTCTTGTCATTATTGATATAGAGGCCAGAGAGATTGGTGAATAAATCAATAATATGCTTCAGTGTTTTAACTGACTCAAGGCTTCCATGAGAGGACAAAAATAAGTCATCGGCAAAAATGAGGTGGGAAATGGCAAGCTCTTTGCATTTCCAGTGGTATTTGAAGGTTCTTTCAGTAATGGATTTGGCAAGAACTAAAGAGAAAACCTGCATTACAAGAACAAAAAGGAAGGGTGATAGAGGATCCCCTTGTCTCAGCCCTTTGACACTCTTGAAATGTCCATTGAACTCCCCATTAAGAGGATTGTAAAAGTTGGGGAAGTAACACAAGCTTTGATCCAATTCAAGAATGTGGATGGAAAGCCAAACAATTGCGGATCTTGGTAATGGGAAGAAGGATAGTTTTTACTTTCCAATTTTGGTAATGGGAAGAAGGATAATTTTTGGTAACGTAACTTCTTTTTTCAGTTGTTGGAAT